TGTTACATGCAAACTTGTTTTTCTTTTTTTTTAATATGAAGTTCAATATTGACTCTATTGACTCTATGAGAGCAGTGAGAGCGAACCATAACTGTTCGATTCTGTCCACACAACCGAAGCAGTAAGCTTAAAGTTGCTGTGTTGCTGATACACTCCTATGAGGAACTGCAGAGTCAGGCAATAATTCTCAGTGGGTTTATCACTACGAGTGTGAAAGTGATCCCCGTCACGTCCATAGTCATGTGCTCCATGTAATTATATTGATTAAAAGACAAATGACAATGACAGGGAGAGACACCAGCCAAGAGACTTGGTAACCTAAAATCAGTTTTTAAATGATCAATAAATGACTTTTACCCACGAATACAGCAAGCAGTTAGAACTTATTACCCCTTAATACACCGTGCCTTATCTAAATCAGCCATATACTGTGTGAGTGTCAACCCCCGCCAATGCCAATGCCCTGTTGGAATATCTGCCAACAGACCATTAAAACTCAATTTAAACTATGATGGACCTCAGGCTTCAGTATTTACTCTCCCAAGACATGTAATTACCTGCCTGCTGCCACCAGAAGAGCTCCTACATTATACTCTCTTCAAGTCAAATTTGAGATGATTACATGCAAACATCAAAGTTTATGCAATTTGCGTTTCTCATTTGTGAAAGTACCTTGAAGTGTGCCACTTGCATGAAATGAGTTTTTTTTTTCGAACAAACTTGGAAATTAATAATGAAGCCCAGTGTGGCTCTGACAGCCATCTCCTTGACTACTGATCACATATTTGCGTCAACAGCACATCAACATATTTTAGCATCTTTTAATGGGCAGTTTCACCTTATTTTTTTTTTTTTTTTTTTAGCCAGCCACAGACATGCTTTTCTGGATGAAAGCACTGAACTGTTAGGTAAACATGTTGCTTCCTACAATGCTGTCCTCTTAATCTGTGATAATGATGTGACAGTGGATACATTTCTTCTGGCCCCTTGGGGAGTGAAATTGATTCTCTTTCCTTTTATCTCTCCGGTGTCTCGCTTATTTGCAACCTTGGCAATTCAAAATGTGACGGCACTGTCATTATAATGTATATACAGTATGTATATTAAATGTGGATGTTTTTGTTCCTGAGAAAACATATGATTTATTTTCCAAACCATATGTGGTTTTGTCTTGTTTGTTTTCATCTGTGATCTTTCACTTCACACAGACTCATCAGGCTGTGTCTCATGGCAAAGAGCGCCTGAGGAAGCCACACCTCGCATGGCAGCTCAACCGCTGTCGGTGTGTGACGGTGTGAATGGGTGAAGCTTTGTCTGTTAAGGTTGAATAAGTTCAGTCCTCCAGATTCATACCTCTGAAAGTGGTCTAAATGGGCCTCACTATGTCTAAGACAGTTTATTTTTTTCCTCCATGACTTTTTCTGACATTTTGTGCAAATTTTCCAGCTCGTGCTCAATGCTGCAAAACCGAAATGACAGACTAGTGTTGTGCTTACTTTAAGTCCATGCCATTTAATAGGAAGAAGATTGGAGGCATAACTGCAGCCTGACAACTGCTATTCATCCTCCATCTACAAAGAAAAGGTCATTTTGTTATTATTTTCAGAAAAAGTAATTAAATATCTTAGCCCTTCCCTGCCATTTGCCACTGAAGAACATGTAACTGTGAATTATAATGCACCTTAAAAGCTTTTTTATCCAGCGGAGGTTTGTGGACAGTGGAATTACTGCAAGCACTCACTTTTCTGAGTGGGAGTTGAGGGCATGATGCTCTAAATGGAGACATTTTCAAAATGCTAATTTTTTAAAAGCAAAAAGTGCCACATGCTGTCCTTGCAATTACAATATATTTTGTTTGGAATGACCCTCATCAAGTTATTGTATGGGGTGCAAATTCTCAGTTCTTCTAAAATTAAGTTGCGATTGACGTGTTTACGTATGTACCATTTTTTTACTGAGCTTAAAGGACAAATGGTGAAAACTCACAATTTCTTTGGTCAAATCAATCATTAGCAGGTCAAGCAAAATGCCACCACATAAGATAAATCATCACTCGCAATGTGTTGTTTTACTTCTTGATGTGCCAAAGCTCAAAAATGTGTCCTTGCACCACGTCCATCCATAATCAATGATTAATGCACAGTTTCTGAAATCAGTGCACTGACAGCACTTTAACATGGTGTTAAATCAGAAGGCTACTGCCAATGCACACGTGACTACATCAACAAACAATCAATATTTACTGTAAAGTGTCTTCATCCTTCAATCTCTCTGTTCCGACCACTAACTGATCAGTTCAAGATCAAACGTCATCATGAAGTCCAACCCTGACATTCATCTTCATGTGTCTGTGCCATCTTATTGGCTTACTGTCATTTCCACAGACACCTCTCTCTCTCTCTCTCTCTCTCTCTCTCTCTCTCTCTCTCCCTCTCTCTCCCTCTCTCTCTCTAAATCAGCAGCAGCTTCAGCTCACTCACTGTGGGGAAGTGCATAAGGAAGGTCCGCTCCTCATACTCTCACACTTTACACTGGGAAACACCAACACAGGTGAGTTACTGGCTGATTTTCATCTGTATTTGTTTGTATGTTTATTGACTGACTGTTTGCATGCCTCCTGTCACAGGTAGTAGTGCCTTTTTTCTAAGACATAACGAAACAACTAAATCATGTAGAAGAAAATAGAATAAAAGAGAATAGAAATATGATGACTGGGGTACAATTCTTCTGTAAGAAGTAGTGAAAACATTCTTCAGAGTTGTGATGAAGCACATTCTTTTCACATTGTCCTCCTTCACATGCCAATGAGCACAATATTCACTTGCCATGAGGGGCACACTGTGAATTTCATGATTTCCCATTTAGTTGTAAAGCAGGAAACACTGTTAGCACTCATTGGAGGATTAAGGTTCATACCCAAGATACTTTTTCATTTTGTAATTAATTGCGTATTGAGGTACAGATTGGTAGACGTTATGTGCCACTGTTATGTAAGACTTCTTGACATGACACAATCCGGAGGCCTATATCTAGACTTCAATAAAGTCAGATTATGCAAATAACAGTGTGGGAGATAAATGTGTGGAAAAAGCATCAAATGTGGTCTTCAAACGATTGTTACAGAATCTGTGAATCTGAACAAATCTACCCGACAGGAATAAATCAGGGTTAAAAAAAAAAAAAAGAACAAATATGTTGATTTTTATTCCTTTTGTTTTCCTGCTCTGTTACGTCCAAGTCGGTGAAATTCTGCACCACTTGGTTTCAGCTCATAGTGTTACCATATTCAAGGAAAGTCGTAAAGTTTCATCTTTAAAATGAAAGCATTTATGTTGCCTATGAAACTGAATATCTGAACGTTTCATTTCTGCAGATATGATCTTTTGAACTGCAGTTACATTACAGCCGTTCCCCTGATGAGTAGCAGCGGTCAGTCTATAAGATGAGCACAACAAAGTCAGCAGTCCTTCAATAGCTATGCATCAAAAGACAATATTCTCTACTTGTAAGCAAAAGCCCTTTCATATATATTAAGTGATACATAATTCATTTCCTTTACAAGTTATAGTCATGTACAGTGAATACATCTAAGTTTACTGCAGAATGTTGCACTCACTGCACTGTATCTTAATTTGGCAAAAATCTTCATACTGCAGATGTTGATCTTGAGAACTTGTCTGAAGCACTGTGACTTTTATCCAACTGGGATGATTAAAATGTAAAAAAAAAAAATGTTAACAGCCAGCAAGCAGAGGACAAAATCTCTGATTAGAGTTCACCAGAATCTCTCTCTTCCACAGTGTTCATGAATATTATTGCTGTAAGTGATAAGTCATGGCATCAACTGTGGCATAAAATATGCGGAAAAAGGTCCCAAGGTGCCTCTGTCACAGGGAGTCATACTAATTAGAAGTATGTGTCAGTAACAGAGACCTGACAGCAACAGTGTCGATGCAGCAGGTACAAATTATGCGACATGGTGAGGTGAAATTATGTGCAAAACACTGGAAAAAGCACATTAGCAAAGAGGAAACTGTGGTCACAAGTAGACCCTCACTGACGCTGACTGAATGACTCTTAACGGGGCATTTAAAGACACTTCAAGCCAGTAGTAACTAACCAGGCTGGGACTGGTCAGATGCGTACACGAACTGATGAAGCCTCTTGGATGAGAGGTGAAACGTCTTCCCAGACAAATAATCAAGTCCAGTTGCGTTTTGATTTAAAACTCCTTTAGGATACCATGACCTGGACAAATGAGAATATGCACAGGCTGATCATGGGAGGAAACATATCGTTTGACATCAGTCTTGCTCCTGTGATGCTTCCTAATAGTAATAATTCCAGACATTGCATCAGCAAGCTGGGTGGAAAATCAACCCAATGCTATGAAGTCATTTTGCATCTCATACCAAAGGGAATATTATATTACAATTATCCTCTGTAATTTTCTTAATATCTTAAACATTCTCCACTATGTGCTTGTTTGATGTTGACCAAAAATACTTTTTACTGTTTAATAAAATGCATCAAAATGAAGCATCTCAGTCGTTTTGAATTGTTCAACTGATGCTGCAAAGTGCTAAACACAATCAGCTGGTCAGTAATCACACTGAAACGGCACAGTTTGACCTCTAAATGCTGAAACAACACTGTAATTTGACATTTTCCATACACACATTAATGCATGACATTGTGCCGCTCTTCTATTCACATTCAGATACTTCCACAATTATAAACCCTTTAATGATGTGCTCTTTGCCCTGTACTGCGACAATATGTTGGTGTTGGTAAAAGCGTGGGTATTAATTGCCTTTTGTTATGAAAATGTCGTGGTCCTGTTTTCATTTGAATGGTGCACGCATCCTCAAATTGAATACATTGATTTAGATGTTTGACCTTTAGAAAGGCCGTTAATGTTCTATTGTAACAGCTGACCTGCAAACCTGATTTATTGCATTTTGAACCGTTCAGGTACTGACAGCCTGAGCTCTGCAGCCATGGATGGTAATCACAGTGTGCTGGCTGGAAGCACACAGCCGTCTGTGTCGGGAGACCAGACAGAGGGACACATTTATGAGGTTGCGGTGCAGAGCAACTCCACCAATCACAGCTCCCAGTTTGCAGATGTGGCCCTGCTGCAAAAGTTCAAGCCCCTCATCATCCCTTGTTATGTGCTTGTGGTGGTGGTGGGTGTGTTTGGGAATTACCTGCTCCTCTATGTCATCTGCCGAACCCGCAAGATGCACAATGTCACCAACTTCTTCATCGGAAACCTGGCCTTCTCTGACATGCTCATGTGTGTGACTTGCGTCCCGTTCACTCTCGCGTACGCCTTCAACCCACATGGATGGGTTTTTGGCCGCTCAATGTGCTATCTGGTGTTCCTCATCCAACCAGTCACGGTCTATGTTTCAGTCTTCACGCTCACTGCTATTGCCGTGGACAGGTGCGTGGATCTCTCTGCACTGCATGAACTCTTTAAAGTTTCTTTTTATTTTTTCCTCTGTTGTCCCTCATTTTAATCATCTTCACAGTTAAATGTCTGTCAAATTGGCCATTTAAATTTCTAAATTACTTCTTCTTTTAGCTCACCGGCTCAGTGGTCATGGTGACAGTATCGCAGTCGTGTTGTGCATTCCCATTGCTTGTAGTGTTTACACCAGACTTAAGATTTTTATGTTTAAAACAGGTGGTTCAAATCCCACCCTGTGTGTAACTGTGTATCATGCCATCTTCTTAAATGTTGTATGAGAACAGAAAGCAGAAATAGTACTGAGAATAGACAGTATTATTACAATTATTACTGCTCCACTGTTATTTTATTAGCCGTTTAAAGTATTTTCTTTTTCTTCTCTGACTGGACACGTCAAAGTTTCTGCTCCATCTTTGTAACTGTTTCAAGGCTTTCCTATTCTTAAGCACATTGTGCTGCATTTATGTATAGTATCGTGACTGATTTAGAGCTAATAAACTAATGCAACATTGATACAGTAAGTAATCACGTCTTGAACTTAATTCATACATGATGATCCATGCATAATTTAAGCATGGGTTTTGTGCCTTTATTTAAAAGTATTACTGTTTCCTATTCTTCTTTATTGCAGATATTATGCAACAGTTCATCCCTTGAAGAAGCGCACCTCTGTGGCCACCTGTGCGTCAGTTCTCACTGGCATCTGGCTGCTGTCCTGTGGGCTGGTAGCTCCAGCAGTGACCCACACCTACCATGTCGAGTTCAAAGAGGAAGGCTTCACCATCTGCGAGGAGTTCTGGTTGGGACAAGAGAAAGAAAGACGTGCCTATGCATACAGCACTCTGCTGGTCACGTATGTCCTGCCGTTATCAGCCGTCTTTGTTTCTTACCTCTGCATCACTGTCAAACTGAGGAACTGTGTTGCACCAGGCCACAGGACACGAGACCAGGCAGGTGCTCAACAAGCTCGGAAGAGAAAGATCTTTCGTTTGGTTGCACTTCTGGTGTCTGCCTTCGCAGTGTGCTGGCTTCCTATTCATGTATTCAATGTGCTGCGTGACATAGACATTCACCTCATTAACAAGCGCTACTTTTTGCTCATACAACTTCTGTGCCACCTGTGTGCCATGAGCTCCTCTTGCTGTAATCCTTTCCTCTATGCATGGCTTCACGACCGCTTCCGCACTGAGTTACGGAAGATGTTCAAGTGCCGCCATCGCATTGGAGTGCCTGCCAATCACTGCGCTGCCAGTGTGGTCCTGTAGTCGCCTGCTGAGGAGGATCCTTTGTTGTTATTTTAGTGTAAGTTGCTGATTTAAACTTTGGTGTGGCACCAAATAAATGGAGTTCATCCTGTGGCTACAAGTAACATCCACAGAAACTTTTCTTGGCAATCCATTCATTATCATGTTGTGTACAAAGATGACCTACTGGCCTCCTGAGGAGAGATCAGTTTTCTGGGGCGTGTGAAGGGGTTCAATCAATTTCAAGGTAATGTCCCGAATGACGGAAGAAGAAAGTTTAGCCCTGATGGGAGGAACCAAAGGAGATGGTGCAGATGGTGATGCAGTCAGTAGTGTTCATCCTCCATGGGCCATGAATATCCACATATATCATCACAATCAAGATCTTGATCTTGATATTTTGACCTAGGGTTGGTGCAAGGGGGGAAGCTCATGCAAAGTCCGACCTGGTAAGGGTTCATCCTCTGGGAATCACAAGCATGCTCAGTAAACTTCACGACAATCTCCCTCTTGGATTTTGATATTTCTTCTATATAAGTGGACATAAGTGGTCACAACTGTAGATGAGTCAGTGGGCTAGTGCACCAGTACCATTATGGGATCATGAATATCAGCAGCAGATTTTATGCCATCAGTTTTTAGGATACTTTGTCACGGACCATCGTATAGGTTATAGGAAACTTTCCAATGACAGTGGTGTTGGATGACAGGTCAAGGGGTGACAAAAAATTAGAGGAAGAATCATCAAATGAAGGTCTAGAAGGGTTCATTATGTGTTTGGATTCACCCTCTGGAAAGCATCCTGCGGCCAACACTAGTTGGGCTCAACTTTGGAGCAGGGGCCAAGAGTCTAATAAATAAATGTTCACTATAAATTCTCTTTCTCACTCTCTTTGGTTATTAATGAAATAAACCAAGCTGTGAGAGAACTGTGGTGAAGGAAATGCTTAAAATATCTAAATTGCTTTTCAGTATTTGATGTAATATATTGTATATACTGTCTACTGTACATCTAACCTTTATGGAATGATGAAAGCTTCCTTTATTATATTTATAAGGACATACTGAAAACATTTATAATGACCTTGTGATATAGAAGAGATGAAATGTTAAGGGTGTCATCTTTCTTTTAACAAATGAATGAGGATTAAAATGTGAACTAGGTAAGGGCTGCGCATGTATGATGATCAGAGTGTAGCTTTATTGGATATCAGTTCAGATTGTGTTTTTTAATGGTCACTGCAGATGTGTTTTTTTCCACCAGGGCACTGATGTCGGATCTAATGTTGGTGTGTTGTTCCTCCGTGGAGCCCAGTGGAATAAATTGCATTCATGAACCTGCTCCCCTGTGCTCCAAATTTCTTAAAGCCTGTAGCTGATGAATATGCACCTTGCTGTAGTAATTATCAAATTATTCCTGACGGCATTGTATAAGAGCTGTAAAAAAAAAAATGAAACCATTGTGGTGTGGTGGTTGGTTATATGTTCTCTGCTTTCTTTCATTTCTATTGCGTCTTCAAAATTTGTACAAAATGTACAAGACTTATTTGTAACAGCCACAGTGGCAACAGCCACATCATCTCCGTATGTATATGTGTCTTCTTGCTTCAGGCCAGTACAACAGATTTATCCTGACAGCTGTAATAACACACAAAGTCACCGTCACTGCAGTGATTAAAACTTCGCCTTTATACTTGCTCTTGTCCTATCATCATTTATTCAGTGACTGAAGGGCCTTCAGTACATATGGCGTACTTAAAATGACCACAGAACTGTTTGTAAATTATGTACATGGTTTGTGGTGTTACATGTAAAAAAAGAAATACTTTGATGTGTAGCCTGTGCTATCACACATTGTGGAAAATTGTGAATAAAAACACAGAGACCAAATGGCCTCTCTGCTTCAGATCAATGTAGCTGCATGATGGCGGGAGATGAAATGAAATTACAACCAACTTGGTCAGTCGGCACTTGCATAGCCAAATTTACTAATTAAATAATGGGGAGGACGGACGTGTTTTCTGCATATCAACTAGGCCTGTTTAGGACACTGAAACGACGTGAGAATTTATTGATCTCCTTTATCATGTCATCATATTTGAAGCTCGCCAACAATGACATAAACTTCCTGTAGTTGAACAGTTATTCTACAGTTTCACATCCTGTGAAATAAGACCAATCTAGCACAGGTCTGTTTCTGTTGATTTGAATTTCTAATCAAACAGTGAGAGCAACACTGCAACACGTTACTTTTAGTATTTTGCTTTGGACCTGAATGCTCTGTCCACTAGAGGGCAGTTGGTAATTAAACTGACATGTAAACTGCAGGTGGTCACATGATCTCATGATCTAGTATGCTATCCTACGTCATACTTACTACTCACCATACTTACTACTCATATTTTTTTCCCAGCAGACATTTTGACTTGTCATAGCAGGAAAAACAAAGGTGGAACTAACAACATTCACAAAGACTCTGTTCTACTGAAGTGCCCCAGTGAGCCGTGATGGCGTCACAATCAGCACAACACCAGTGGCTGGATTCACAAACATATTTCAGAATGGTCTGTAGTGTTGCTCACAGAGCAGTTGTCAGAGTGGTTAGTCAGACTGTTTCACAAAAATAAAGACTGACTCATTTTAAGCCAAAAACATTAAGCGCCTTACCTCCAGCCTTACTCAGGTCTAAGACCAATGTTACCATGGTAACAGGGTAATCAGTAACACCTGCGCTGGGCAGTAGCTCACATATGTGGTTTGCAAACATTGTTATGGAGAACGCAACGAGAAGGGAAAGAGTTATTAGAGGCCGCAGCCATTTATTTCCGAATTAGATTTTTCTTTTTATTGTTTCACTCTTCAGGTAAAACGTCTTTGTAACTGCTGAATTCTTTCAAAGCACAAACATTTTCTGCTGGGGTAAACAGAGCTGAGCGGTTGGATGCAGCTCTTTTGTCGGACTTTTCTTTTTTTTTTATATTGAAAAGTCTTAATTCACCAAGAATTTATTGTACCACAGTGCAGCTTAAGTCAAGAACTAAACTGCTTTGTGTAACAGCAGAATTCAGACTCAGTCTATCTGAAGTCTGACTATTTGGTACATCTAAGACTATCTTTGTGACACCGGCCTCAGGACCCTGAAACTGAAATAGCTAAATGGAATTACACCATTATTAGTTTTAATATAACACCTGTGCTTTTCTTTACGTGACATGTCCAAATGTCACATTGTTGTTACAAATGTGCCACAGCCTGTACTTATGTGAATGGTTTGCAAACTAATTCCTTTTTTCTTTTATTTTCTTCAAACTAAATGCATTCCAAGTTAGTTCACCTTGACAGCACAACTAGGTTTTTTAACCACTTCAACAAAGCTTTATTAGAAAGTGAAGTATAAGCAGCAAAATAATGAACAGATACAATCTGTTACTGAATAGAACTATATAAAAAAAAAAGGTTGGGGGCAATATCATACCATCATCCAAGTCTTGTCAAAATGATAATCAATATATTTTGTCTTATATAACCAATGTCCAAAGAAGTAGACACTGGTCTCCATATGTAACTGGTTATGATTTCTTACTTTCAGATGTGGACAACATTTTCTGCGTCAGAGCGAAGTCTCTAGCCTCTCGAGGAGTGCGGATGTATGAGTCAATCTCACTGTCAGAGATTTCCTCATCACCAGTTACATCCTTGAGCTCTGGCTGCGCCACTCTCCTTTTCTTAGCATGAATCACACACGGAGGAGCAAAAAGCACTCTCTTCCCCCAGTTTGGTGTTGGATCTTGGCTGTCCTGAGGGTCGCCGTGCGGTTCAGACACGGTGAATGGAATATCATCTCCATCTCCTGCTCGCTCTGTATTTTTAGCCTTCGGTTCACACTGTTCCACGGAGGATGAATTCGGAGTCTTCTCTACGAGCTCGGACGTTTGGGATGGAGCAGTCAGAGAGTCCTCACAGCTGGCCTCACACTCCAGCAGAGCATTCTCGTGAGTTCTCAGAGCCCTCCTGAGCAGGGCGTACCTGTACTGCACAATATCTTCCACCTGCTTAATGACATTATCTGGAGTCACTTCCTCCCTGATCCAGGGAATCTCCTGACCCAACTTGCACAGCACCTCCTTCATCTCAGCTATTCTCTTCATAGCGGGTTTGTGCTTATTCACTTTGGCCATCTGGCAGAATTTGTCCAGAGAGAATTTGAGCCGGGGCTTGGTGGGTTTCAAGGACTGCCAAGCCAAATAGATGGCTGCCATCATGATGGGGATGGGCTTACGGCCAGTCACAATCCAGGAATCTGCTGCCAGCTCCACCAGAGCCACGGCACGTTTGGTCAAGTCCTTGGAGTTCTCGGCGAATTCTTCAGGAACGTGAGGAGAACTGATTTTGTACCTGACAGACAGAAAACACATTGTCAGTACATTTTAGACACCAGTCTATTATTTAAAGCACTGCTGGCTCCCTTTTCTGCCTGGTATGTCTCCAGATAGAAAGTTAACTTTATACTCTTCCTATGAGTTTGACTGACATTCAAAAATTTGTTTCATTCAACTCTGACATGAGCAGCTCCCCTACACCCCCACTTACCAAACGAGAACCATTCCCATCCACTAATGAAAATATGTAATAGCCATTTAAGTTAAATAACCGTCTAAAATAATCAAGGGCAATTTATTGAAAGCTGTAATGTCAGTTTGACTACCAGTCAGTCTTCTATATACACTGATTCATCTGCATCACAGAGAAAATGAGAATGAATGCTGATGTTTGGAGGATTGCTGCTACTCTACAATGTGAGAAATGAGTCTTTTTGAATGGCGTATTTTATTTTGATGATAACTCCAGAGAAACATTCAGACCACTGCTCTTCACTTACTCCTGACTGTGAGCTTCCATTACATCAGTGATGTTAATAATCGGAGCCTTGATGTTGAGAATCTTGATCATTTCTTGATAAACTACCCCCACCACCATGGAGTCGGCATCCAGCAGGCAGCTGATGGTTCCCAAGGTAATGGGCCAGTTGAGCAGTCTGCAGCTTACGAGCACACAGCAACCAGCGAGAACTTCTTTCTTCTGGAGGCTCACTTTGATGAAACTTTCATGCTGGTAAGCCTGGTTGTAGTAGGTCTGCGAGAGATCCTCGATCTCACCGTGGACCCTGAGAGTCCGACATATAGCTTTCAGACGCTGCAGACCTGAGGAAATACATAATACAAAGGGCATGAGCATGTGAGAGCAGCGGGGTCCACTATATAGGGGGGGTTACTGTCTAAAAATATCTCTAACAAGCAAAGGTCCCTTTGGAAAGAAGATCTCACCTTTAATCAGGTTTGTACACGGCCTTTTGGCCACAGCTGTGGTTCGGCTGTAGCTGACATCTGTAAAAAGAACATAGAGTCAAAGCAAAGACAAAATGTAATCAAATGAGAGCGTCAGAGGTTTGGACTTAGCAAAGATTCCAACACCATGCTGCTTACCGATACAGACTTTTAACACATTTTTCTGTAAAACATTGTGTAGGGAAGAGAATATAGTGAGTTCTTCAGTATCATCAGTGTCATTTAAACGCAAAAATGCAAAACATTTTAATTTTCCAGGTTCTCAATGAGGAGAATTTCCTACTGTTCTTGGTCTTGCATTGTATTAATTCAGTAAGTTTGGATTTTTATCGACCAAATATTTTATTGATAGAAATGATGAAATGTGTACTGAAAATAATCGTTAGTTTCAGCCCTGTTTCATCATGCCCCTGTTTCATCATGTTATTCACACTTGGCCCCTTAACTCCAAAATACACCAGACAAGCCTCCACCAAATCTAAGAAAGGCTGCGACACTGTGCACAGCGGGCACTGCAGACACACACAAAAAAACAAAACAAAGAGTGTCTACACTGCAGTCTGGTTTTCAAAGTTTGTCGCTGCGCAGCTACAAACATCAATGCTCATCCCCTTCACTTTATTCATGCAGTACATTCTGTGACATTATTATTGTGAAGCAGCAGAGAACTCAGTGTCATCCCAAGACAGAGCAGAGTTTCGAAGTTTCCTTTTGACCCAGGGCTGGATTACACACCACCTCTGAGGTCTCAAAGGTTCCATATTCATTGTGTCAGTTGCCTTGTGGTAATTTGATTCATTGCACATTTGGTTGGATTGTGCATCACAGCAATATCACACAATCTCAACTCAAATAATTAGGATCTCAAAGCGGGTCCTGCATTATTGCCTGTGTCAAAATGTATTTAAAAGTTTTGATACATTATGATCCTGCTGCAGGTTCAGGGCACACTGGGGACATTTGTTTAACTGACTCTGGACAATTCACTCCTTTGCAGTCAAAAGAACATCTTCAACATAATGACGCTGCATAGTTCTGTTCTTAGCTATCAGTGCCGAGTTAAAAGATGGCCCTGAAAAAAAAAAAAAATCATTTAAACTGTTTTCTCACTTACCTGGTGTGGCATCTAGCTATACAGACATTTCAGATATCTGTGCTCACAGCAATGAGAAATGACATTTAAAAAACATAAATATCATCATCTCTTCTCAACAGTGTCCCTGCTACTCTGCATTAACCACGAGCCTCGGTTTAAACACAAAGTAGCTACGGGACATGCAACAGGTCCCCAGGCTGGGTGTCACATTATGTGATATGCACGTTAACCGGGGCGCAGTATTTCTCTCTTTTGAACCTCCAAATATCAGTCTGACTACATTGCCTAGCATTCATGGAGGGGGACGGCATATTATTAGGTACACTGAGCTCAAACTAATGCAGTCTAATTCAGCTGTCCTGCAACAAACCCTGCTTCATGAAGCTTTTAATGTTCAGTGTGTGTTTGAACTGTTTTACAGAGGTGGTGACTCGACTTTATGGTCATATTGGAAGATGCAGTTTGTGGTGCTGTTGAACTGCTATTGTTTCTGTTATTTTGCTGACCGGCCTTGCACTTAATCTCACCAGGCCCTACCTCATTATTTATTTATTTATAAGTATTTGACATGGGCAAGTGCAATTTGAAAAGTGCAATGTTAAAACCCACATATTTACATATTTCTTTGCATATTTCTATTTTTATATATATATAGATTATAGTATGAGGACATATCTTTTATATTTATGTATGTATGTACGTACATATGTATATGTATATATTTATCTTTTTATCTTAATAATCTACTTCATATTCTCTAATCTTTGAGGAACAACCTAATTTCCCCCTGGAGAAGTATTCTGTATTGTATTCTGATTGTGATGATTTAGCTTACCCTCGCTCATATAAATGGGTTGACAAAAACAGTACAGTATAACAGCACCACAAACTGCAGCCTCCAAAAATGCTCATAAAGCTGAATCGACATCTCTAAAGCTGTTGCAACACAACATGAACAGTATAGCCTTCATGAAGGTAGTGTTTACTGGAGACAGTTGTATTAGACAGTGTATAAGAGCTGTCTGCAGATTTTATTTCACAGTGGTGAAACAAAATTAGATGCTCTTGCAATTTTGAAAAGTAATTTTCAATATTGTGAGCACCACAAACAAAATAAAATCAAGGAGACGAAAATTTAAAAATATAAGTAAATATATAAAAAAGAAAATTGCACAGCAAGAAAACAGTCGAGGTGAGTGACAGACAGACTCCGGCAATTGTAACCGGACAGGCCTCCACCGGACCATCACTGTTCTCATACCTGAACCTCCGACTGGGTCATTGGCCAGCACTCCCTCGGACACCACGGAGCCGCAGTCCACACACACAAGCTGCGACTGACAGTACAGATCATCTTCGACGACGTTGGAGGAGCCGCAGCCCGGGCAGCTCAAACCCGGACGAGACATCTTCAAAACAATTAATTTAAAATGTATAAACAAATAAACCTCCGCAGCGAGCGGTGAGGGGAGAGTAACTCGTCAAAGATAACCAAATAAAACATGCGTCAAATTAGTCTTAACGATGGGTGTATCACCAGAGCAGCACAGGTATACACACCAGTAACACATGTGAACTGTAAACAGCTGCTGAACAACAAATGAACGTCTCGGCCAGCCGGTCTGAGGGCGGCGAGTAAAATGTGTCCGGGCAGATACAACGTTCACGGCGTCATGGGTTCCGCTTGCTGCTTTCAGAGATGTACAACACACACGCGGGGCCCTGTCCGACACCCGGCGCAGAAAAGCGCCCTTTCATACTACCTGGTAAACCTGCTGCACCGTTTCACATTGATAAATGTATGAATAAACTAAATTTGTTCCACCACAGTTTCATAGCGAACCGAAGATTTATTCACGACTCTCATCATATAATATAAAATATGTCTAACGTTAGCAAAAGTGATATGGACACGCTATAAATGCACTTGCGCCATTCGCTTTGGACGGTGTTAAAAAATGACTAGGGAAAGACTGTTGTCCCAGGTTACAACAATGTCATTCACTCAACTATTTAGCCCATGAACTATAATCAGTTCCTATTAGGAACTGCTAAAATGTTGAAGAGAAAAGTTCAGATGAAAAAATAAGAATGAAAGAGTTGTTTATTCAAAGGTTGATTTTATTTTGCATCTTTTAATACCACGCAGCAGTAACATCAGTACAGTAATTGTTAATAGTGTAAGCTTAATTAAAGTGCTTTTGGGGGGTTAGTTGAATCATGTAAACTTTTGACATTCAGTGCAGGAGCAGGAAACTTTATCTACATAACTAGTGCACATTAACAGCAAAATAAGGCTCTTCTTTAAACTGGACATAATAGTGAACAGCAAACAGACTATAGAAAAACAGACAGTATGCACTTTGTTTTGCCAGGTAATACATTAATAGGTAGGCATAGACATTCATCAAAGTGATTACTAGACAGGATTTTATGCTCAACATGAAAACAATCATAACAAATACACAAGGGTTTGTTTCAAAGTCAGACATGTACATACTGTAGCAAAGTGTCAAAAATATAACTAAATATTTAGAAAAATGTAGAATACATTTATGATCATCTTTGATTGAAAGTTGACATAATCCCCCAATTGAAAGGCTCTTGGCTGGAACTGAACCAGACTCTGCAAGATTTCTTTTACAAAATATATTTCAGTCTTTATCATTATTCATCTGCCAATATGTTGAACTTGAACCCTAAACTGTTCAAATCCACTGCTGTTAAACCTGAAATCGGGTCTGCACTGGTTCGATACAGCGGGAAAAAAGCATCAATTGTGAATCTACTTAGACACCCTTCATCAGAGAGCTCATGGACATCAGGATACTTGGTTTCTCTTCCATGACACGCACGAGCAAGTTGTCAATGTACTTCTCCAGCTCTGATATCTTTTTGTCTCTCTCAGTAAGCTGCTTCTCCTGTTTCAGCACCAGAGAGATGAGTTCCTCTCGAGTCAGCTGGGAGTACGGCCCTTTCAGCCCGGTGTCATTTACCTGGGAGAGAATAGGTGTGCGTGTATTAAAAACACAAATAACACACGAAACCCTTGATGAAAGATTCAAACGTTGATCCTATTTGATGAAGAAGCATTTACATATGAACACTTTGTTCGTTTCTTTTGATAAGTGTGATGGAAAATCTTTAAACCACTTTAAAAGTCTTTGGGGAAAAAAACAATACCTTTGTTTTCTCCTGAACTTCACTGAGGATTCCTGTGGGTTGGTTATATTTTCCCCCTTGAACATTGGAGACAGACTGCTGGTCTGGAGGATTAAGGGGTTTTACAGGTTGAAGTCTGAAATGGTAAACAAGGAAGAAGAGAAAGAAAGATGTAAGCACTGGCTGGATGAGAGTGAAAGTAAATGGATTATTGATGTGTGAGTATGACTTTGTTTGTGAGATATATCATTTTTCATAAGATGAAAGAGTAAATGTAGCAATCACCAGTCAAACAGAATATGGTTTGTTATTAACGCTGTGAGCTAATTCATCCACAGATACAACGCAATTAATAATACAAGCAAAGATGAATGATGGATGAGTATCAATGATGAAAAATAAATAAGGATGAATCATAGAAGACTACATTAGGAATGTGCAGCGTGATGGATCTTTTTCTTTTTATATATTACAGCATGAGATCTACAGCTAGTGGTGTGTGATCTATAAATTAAGACGCGTCTTATAAATATTCTTTTGCCTTCCTGCTGAGGGACTGAGCTGTCTCACCTGCGTGAAGTTGTAGAAGGCACTTCCTGCGCTCTCCCGGGCTGGGGCTCTTTCCGTGAAGCCCCCTGGTCTGGCACAGAGATTACGGCCTCTGGCTGTGGGTCACATGCTTGGTGTGCACCGTTATCAGGTACAGCCGCGTCTGCATCATCCGTAACGTGGCCTCCGTCAGTGTTTTGGTGGATTAAAGTGCTTGACGTGGCGGCTTTCTTCGCAGGAGGTGGAGGAGCGCGGGCTACCTTTGAAGATTTGAGTTTCGCTTGGGAGGCGGCGTCTTTATCAGCAGCTTGGGACACAGCTGGAGGCCAGTGAACTGAACCAGAACTACCTGGGGTTTTCGCATCATCCTCGGCTGTGAGCTCATCTTCATCATCTTCAAATGGATTTGAGCCATACACAACAGGGACGTGTTTTGTCTCTGAGCCACCTCTCTGGGTATTGTTGGCTGTTTTGGGCTCAGATGACGGCTCTTCTTCCACAGAGCGAGGTCTGGATGGCGCAGGACGTTTACTGTGTTTGGCTACACTCGCTGTTCCTTTGGTGGAACTACTTTGCATTTCGCTCTGGGTGTTCGTTGTATCTGCGGGAGACTGACTCAGAGGGGCGATCATTTGCGTCGCGCGCTGAGGGAGAACACTGGCAGTTTTGATGTCTTTGTCATTACTCTGCTTGTTCATTTGTGCCAGGTGTCGTGTAGCAACATCCTGCTCCCTCTGACTCTCAGCTTGACTCCTTCCTGGAGGCTGAGGAGCCGGTCGCTTCTCCCGTTGAGCACTAATCAGGTCCTTTTCATCAGTGGAAACTGTCCTGCTTCTCACCGATGACACAGCAGACTGACACCTGGAATAGAGACAGAGTTAATGAGGTTTCAGCTCACTTAAGAGTCTCACAGGGAAGCCAGACACCGTAAAAAGAAGTGCTTCACTGGCCTTTGATAATCATCTAAAACATGTCATCAAGGATTTTGGAAAAAATTAGATTAGAGATATTAAAATCTTATGTAAAACCTTGTGTTACGAAATTAGAAAGAAAAATCACGGAAGAGAGGCCCAATCCCTTCATTTGAAAAAAACGCAGTGTTAAGGCATTGTAATGTGGTAAGATGTATTGCTGTAATAAAAAAATAAAAAATAAAAAAAAAATCTAATATGCAAAGCAAAACTCATCCAGATTTCTGTGATATTACCATCCACTACTGTCAATCTCAGAGTAATTGCCCAAAGTTTGGAGTCATATTCTCTACCTGTTCTTGACACCTGATATAATGAGGTAAGACTGTGCTATGAGCTCCCAATCTCAGCTGACAAACGAAACAGATCCTTGCCCGCCCACACACACACACACACACACACACACTTTATGTCTCTGCGCACTCATACCAATTAACACAGCTATGCAATTTTCATGATGTTGTCAGCCTCAGGTTGCATTTAAATGAGAAGTGTCTGCTGCTGTGGCGTCACTGACTGCAAAACAGGAGACGAAGTAACAATTGAACATTCAGATAAACATTCTCTGGTCTCAGGTAAATGACTCCGACTTTATTTCATTTTCGTCATTCAAATTTAGTTTCACTGCCTCTTGTGGTGTTGTGTTGCCCATCCTGTTGAGTCACTGATAACAATGACACTGATAACAACTGACAGTATCTAGTTTCACCCTGCTGTGCAACATCCACAACCGGCACCGTTTCCCACAGTTGTATTTCTGAATTTTGAGAATACACACACACAGTGAGGGGTAGACCAGTGTGAGCGGCGTTACAAGTCCATCAATGAGATTGAAACGATAAAGAATTAGCTACTTGGTCCAAACTGAAATATTACATCAACCATCAGATGTATTGCTAGGATATTTAGTACAGAAAAAATCATAGTCCCCAGAGGATGAATCCTATTGACTTCGAGGATCCTGTGACTTTTCCTCTAGCACGACCATGAGGTTGACATTTGTGGTTTTTGAGTGACGTGTCACAGTCTATTAGTTGGACTGCAAAGAAATTTAGTTCAGACATTTACGTACATCCCCCTCAGGATGATTTGTGATAACCACGGCAACATCTTTGGCTCCATCATCTGGTCAAAGTTTCACAAACACTTGGTTTCAAAACCAAATACCTGCAAAACTGACATTCCCATCAGCCTCAGCTGTACTTTGTGTTTAGCACTTATGAGCTAATGTTGACATGCTAACACACAACATGCTGGTGGAACATGGTAAACATCAGCATGTTAGCTTTGTCATTGTGATCATATAAGCATTTAGCTCAAAGCATTGTTATGTACGGCCTCACATAGATGCTAATGTGGCTGTAGACAGGTTTTTTGTTTTCATTTTGTAAAAAAATAAAATAAAAAAAGTTTGAGGCAATGTTTGTAAGTTTTGTATGCATTACATTTTGTATGTCTTACTTTTTCCGTCATTTACATTTGTTTTAAAAGAAGAGTTTATGTGGAAAGCTCTTTTACATATCTTTTAAGAATAATTATTTTAATTCAGTTGACATGACTAACCCGTAACCAACCGCTTGTATAAAAAAAGAAACCTCAGAAAACAACTGTACCTGAAGAGGTGAGTTTGTTGTGCAGTAATATTATGAGCGCATGTTTATAGCTAATGTTTCTTATATTGTTACGGGTTGAAACATACTGCATGTATCATAATGTTTGTGATGCATGTGTAGGATGGCTTGAACTAACCCTTGTTGGACGTTGGACGCTGTGGCTGCGCCGCTGTCGGGACCAGCGCGTGAGTTGGGAATCTCCTCGAAGGGATTATTTAAAAAGTTTTCATCAAACGGATTAGAGGAGGTGACATCTGCAGTCCTCGCCACACCTACTTCAGATTTGTGTCCATCTTTTGTTTTATTTTCTCTTGTCTTCCGTTCTTCTGCATCTCTTGCTAACTTTTCCTTCTCCAGCTTCCTGGTCTCCTCTTCTTTCCTCTCCCTCTCAGCTTTCTCCACCCTCCTAATCCTCTCCTCCTCCTCAATCCTCCTCTTTTCTTCTTCCTCTCGTCTCCTCTTCTCCTGCGCTAATCTTTCCATTTCTTCCTTTTCCTTTTCAGCCCTCTCTTCTTCCTCTCGTCTCCTCTTCTCCTCCTCCTCGAACCTTTCCTGCTCTTCCTTTCTAATTCTCTCCTGTTCCTCCAGTCTCCTCTTTTCTTCTACCAATCTCTCATACTCTTCCTTTTCCTTCCTAGCCCTCTCCTCTTCCTCTTGTCTCCTCTCCTTCTCTTTCCTTATCCTTTCCTCTTCCTCCCTTTGCCTTTTTTCTTCTTCCTCAATTCTTGTCCTTTCCTGTTCCTCCAGTCTCCTCTTTTCCTCACGCTCCTCTTCTTCTTTCCTCACCCTCTCCGCCTCCTCTTCTTTCCTCCTCTCTTCCGCCATCCTAATCCTTTCCTCCTCCTCCCTTCTAATTTTCTCTTCTGTCTCAATCCTCTCCCTTTCTTTCTCCTCTAGTTTCCTCTGTTCTTCTATCAATCTCTCATACTCTTCCTTTTCCTTCCTAGCGCTCTCCTCTTCCTCTTGTCTTCTCTCCTCCTCTTTCCTAATCCTTTCCTCTTCCTCCTGTTGCCTCCTTTCTTGTTCCACTAGTCTCCTCTTTTTCTCACGCTCTTCCTCTTCTCTCCTAACCCTCTCTTCTTCCTCTTCTCTTCTCCTTTCTTCCTGAGCCCTTTCCTCCTCCACCCTAATCCTTTCCTCTTCCTCTCTTTGCCTTTTTTCTTCCTCCTGTCTCCTCTTTTTTTCACGCTCTTCTTCTCTCCTAACCCTCTCTTCTTCCTCTTTCCTCCTCTCTTCCTCAGCCCTCTCTTCCTCCTTCCTTATCCTCTCCTCTTCCTCCTTTCTAACTTTCTCTTCCTCAATCCTTCTTTCTTCTTCCAGTCTCCCCTTTTCCTCTTCTAATTTACGCTCTTCTTCTTGTCTCCTAGCCCTCTCCTCTTCCTCTTGTCTCCTCCTCTCTTCCTGAGCCCTTTCCTCCTCCACCCTAACCCTTTCCTCTTCCTCCTCCATTCTTTTTCTTTCTTGTTCCTCTAGTCTCCTCTTTTCCTCTGCTAATCTTTCACGCTCTTCTTCTTCTCTCCTAACCCTCTCCTGTTCCTCTCCTCTCTTCCTCTCTTCCTCCCTCCGAATCCTTTCCTCTTCCTCTTCTTTTTCAATCCTCTCTCTTTCCTCTTCCTCTTGTCTCCTCTTCTCCTCGGCCAATCTCTCAAGCGCTTCTTCTTGCCTCCTCACCCTTTCCTCTTCCTCTTCTTTTCTCCTCCTCTCCTCCTCCATCCTTATCCTTTCCTCTTCCTCCCTTCTAAGTTCATCCACGTCCTCCGTTGTATTTTCTACTTCAGCTGCCTCCACTTCCTCCTCCTCCTCCTCCTCCTCTTCTGTCCAGGGTGAATACTGCCTCACTCCCCTAAGTGAATCAACAGATGGGGGGGAGCTTTCAGGGACATCCTCCATGGATCCATGGCCTGAACTGGCCAGACTGAAGTTTGATCCGATGCGAGAGGTCCGAGGCTGCGGCTCTTCACAGTATACGTGACTGCCATTGATGCACAGGTTGCTCTGTTCTACGGCGCCATGTTTTTGGCCAGCGGAGGAATCTTTGCTGTCTGAGCTGCCTGAGCGTTTATGTATCATGAACTTGAACTTCTTTTTACCTGGAAGGACATTGGGAAATGAACATGCATTTAATTACAATGAAGACAAGAGTGAATAAAAAAAAAAAACGGAGTAAAGAGTGATTGAGTGGATTAAGAGTTGTTGCTCCTGACCCTCAGAGGAATCCACATTCAGACCAGACGACTGGCTGCCGCTCAGTGAGGAGTTCTTCGCAGGCAGGACAGACATGGACTGAGACATGTTCCTCTGCAGGTTGGACTTGGGAGAAAACAAAGACTTGATTTTATGTTTCTTCTTCTTCTTCTCATCCTTCCCTGCAGCTACGTTCCCATCCCCATTTGCCTCGTCCTCGCTGTCCGTCAGAACCTGAGAGAAGGATGGCACCACGCTCGACACAGTGTCCGATTCCTTTTTCTTGCCTCGCACTTTGTCCTTGAACTTGCCCAGGCGAGAGCGGGACTTGCCGGCAGCGGAGAGATCAAACATGCTGGCGGTCATGTTGTTTCTCATGAACTGGATGTCCACGAGCACCTCTCCTCTGTCTTTGTCTGCCTTGCCAACCTTGTCCAGTAACTTGAACCATCTGTTGAAGAGAGGCATGCTATTAGAATGACATATCAACAAATACACAAAGCCCAAAAGCCTGATTTATTAAACATTATTTCACATGTGAAGTTTTTAAGATATTTACTCTGGATGTCATTAACTTCTTGTTTCCATGTCGGCTCTATCTGGGTAAAAACATCTTATGGCTGCAATTAACTGACTTCTTGGCACAATGGCACTTTTCACATTTTAGCCGCAATGATGTATGTGGATTGTCTGGTGTGGTCGTGGAGATTTATTCAGGATTGGCATCATGATGTCTATGATAAGCCACAGTGTAGTAACCTAAAGTCAGTGGTTGTAGAAAATCTGCCAAGAGGAGATATTTACATGATGATGTCCCAAGATCATGTAATTTATATTTGATAGGAGGTGACACGTATACATTATATATTATTATTTATATTAGTTTGTCTTTTTTAAAAAGATGATAGAAACAGTAAAGTTTAGTTGAATGAAACTATGGGATAAATTTAAGAACTGTTGTATGTGAATAATTACTTAACACCAAGAACATCAAAGTTAACCTGCCTAAACCAACTTTGTTTGTTAAAATAATAACGGAAACTTTTAAGTACCTGAATATTTACCAGAGTGTGATTTTTTGCTCATTTGTATATTTTAGTTACTTACTGTCCACATTATTTCTATTTCTTTTATTTATCACACAGCAAACACTGTCTGCTGAGTGTTTACATTCATCTTGTACCTTTAAGATCCGACACTTCACTCGCTGTCTGTGATAAAGAGGTGTCACAGAGGAATGTTAATGGAGCAGTGAACACAAACTATCACCCAGCATGATGTAACGTATTGAAAAGGTTAAAGGAATCATCAAAACTGAGACTGAGATTCAAGGAGAGTATGTTAATGTTCAAATCCTCATTAGTTTCTTCATGGAAACTGTGATCAAGCCGCAGCAAATGGAAAGTGACTCAGCAGCGACTTGAATGTTTTTGGAAAGTCTGTGGTGATCTAAGCACAACCAGAAAACTGACCAAGGAGGAAAGTTTTCTTCTTTTTTTTTTTTTTCTTTTTCAATAATAATAATACTGTGCTGTCTGTGGCAGCCACTAATGTGGAGAATTCATGAATGCTTGTACTGTGGGTACTTCCTCTCACACACTGCAGATGCTCACTGCAGTAAATGGACAGTTTTTCCACCCCGACCTGTAGCACAGATTTATACTTAGCAGGCTCAGTGATAGCTTGTCGATATGTTCCTAAACATTTAATCCTGCAGACAGTCAACAAGCCAGATCGCCCCCCCCCCTCCCCCCAAAGGAGGAGGGAGTTTTCATCTAAGACGATTAGTCTCTGCCTCTCAAAAAAACTCAAATTAGTCAGGTTCACAGGAAACCAATCTGCTATTAACCTCATCATCACCTTTTAAACATGCTGCGGGTACTGTAGCTGCCACAGAGCAAGAGTCGGTGCCAACAGTCATTCCCAGCAGGGTCACACGCCATTGATCTGTTACTTTACACAAACAACCACATGCAGATTTAGGGTAAGGAGCCCAATAGAAACACTGCTTACAATCTAAAAACCTGCTGTAATGAAATGTAGAAAAGCCAAAACAGACTCAGTAAGACATCCACTGAGACCAGACTGTGTCAACTTTGAAAGCACTCCTGCACCTGTGTCATGGCCCAGCAGTGACAGAAGAGCCTCAGAATGAGCAGAATAATTCAACAGAGCGACAAAAAACACCAGTCAGCGTAAAAAAGTGTCTATCAGGCAGAAATCTGAGGTCAGCTCACCACTGAACAAACAACTCCAACTGAAATCTGAATTCCTGAGGAAATGAGGAAGGGGCTGTGTGTGCATGTCTGTGAGCATGTGTGTGTGTATATGTCTGTCTGTCTATGTGTGTGTGTGTGTGTGTGTGTGTGTGTGTGCACGCAAAGAACATACTTCTGTGTTGTGGGCCTATCATCTCTCTAGTTATGTGAAACACAAAAGTAAGCCTCAAAATGAAAATACGGCTCACAAATGTGGTTTTAAAAAGCAGATAAATGTGGAAGCATTTTTTTTTCCCAGTTTATATAACACCCCCCCTCCTGAGATGCCACTGAATCTACATTCCTCTCAGTGGTCCTGAATCAGACACGCTGTTGAGATCACCCTCCTCTCTCAGGAATGCTTCAGATGTGTGGCACAAACAAACTAAGGAGGGGAAACGCCTTTTCCTGGAGACTGCTGTCACAGCTCCCCTGCCTCCTACTGCTGATGGGTAATGGGCTGTGATTTGCAAATTTCAGCCTTTGACATTATAAATATTCCACCGTGAGGCTTCTTCATGATTTGCCCGATGAATGTCGATCAGCAGAACGCAGCTAGATGGATAATCCAGTTATTGTACGATGTGGATGGTATTCTGCAGCAGTTTTGTTCTTACTCCCGGGAACGGTGAGGTGTTTATATGTGGCTCAGAGTTATGACACAGAATATTTCATCCAATCCTTCCGTGGTGTTACGGCGTGCTTTTGAATAGTTTCACTGCCAAAGTAGAAAAGTTTTGCAATTCCCCTCATATGGCCTAATGATACAAACAGTATTTTATTCATTATCATCACATTATGATAAAATCATCTGTCGTATCATTCCACAAATTGATTATTATTATTATTTTTTTTTTTAATAAATCAGAATCAGAAAAACTTGGAGATCACTTTGTTACAATTGCTCAAGAGTTAGGAGAGAGGAGGTAAATGAGTAAATAAGTAATGCTAGAAATATAATAATAAAGTAACTAACTAGATAATTATTACAGTCCTTGTTTTATGCATATTAATTGCTATTATATTAATTGCTTGGTATCATCTGTTACATTATTTTATATGTTGTTATTTTATAAATATTTGTCATATTAAGATATATAAATATCAATAACAGAAAATATCCTTAATGATAATGAATTGAACCGTTCCACCAGCACTGTAGTATAAAGTCGTGTAATTCTAATACAATATCACTATTGTGTAGTATATAGTATACGTAGCAGAGCCCAGCATGGGTTTAGTATTAATGTTAGTATGGCATATGCATCAGAAGACTGTAGTATTGTACAGTATTAGCATTAGTAGAGTGAAGTATAGTACAGTATTAGTGTTACTACTGTAATAGTATTAGTATACGTGGTAATAGCACCGATAGTATATTGTAGTATAGGTTTAATCCACAACATTGTGCGTCAGTGATGCCCACACAAGTCACTAACACAAACACACATAAAGAGGAGAAGTAAGATACTTCAGCTGAATCAGAGGGGAAGTTGCGAAAAGTGTTTGGGCGTTAGCTGGTAGGGCTAGTTAGCAGAGCGCTGGAGGAGGAATTAAGAGAAAGAGGCTTTCACTTCACAATGCCCGGATGATGATGATGATGATGATGATGATAATGATGCCCTTAAACTCAGTAATCTCACATCCCTGTGAATAGTAGAAAGTGTGCTGCTCTGCTGTACAGACAGAACCACAAGAGGATAACGCATGACTCAACATTTTGTAAATGTGTTCTACTTTCTGCACACACACATCCTTCCTTGCGAAGCCTGAACCACTGATAAGACAATGCCCTGAGTGGCTCAAGCCTTTCTTATCACAGAACACAGCTGCACAAGTGGGAGAAGAGATGAGTGAGTAAAACAACTCAACAGTGATAATATCCAAGGAGCGAAACTGTCCACGGCTTATCGCATCAGTCCACATCCATGAGTCAGAGAAGCTGAAATGAAGGCCTGTACATGGCAAAGGAAGCAGTGGAACTGAAAAAGAAATTCCCGTTGCAGTCACAAACCACTGGTTGAACCTTGTGCCATTTCTAAACCAAAATCAATTACAATACATGCTAGAGCTCACACTGTGCAGGGTGTAACCTGTAATAGAGACTTATTGCAGGTTTCTAAATATCATTTCATCATAATGTTTCTAAAAGGTGTCATGGAAGTTATTTTTCTGTATCCGGGCTTTGCGACACAGGTGCTCTTAGACCTGCAGGTTTTGTTAGTAGATGAGGCAGTTTGTTAGGCTGACTGATGTGGGTGTCATAATACCCCTGTAGCTGCTTGATGGTGTTGAAATTAGAAAATAGGCCTTTTCATAGGCGTGTGAATACATTGTGACCTCTCCCGGTAGGAAAAGTACAGGTGTAAATAATAAAAGTCAGTGAGTTTCAATCAGCCGCTTCAGCTTCAGGGTATTGTGCATGTTGGCTCATTATCAAACAGTCATGACCTATGAAACAGAGCAGAGCCATTGTTAATGTGAATATTAACACCTGTCTTTCCTGCTATGACAGGTTAAAATGCCTGCTGGGAAAAGGGCCTATGACGACTTAAAATCAACCGGTTTTATAGATGACTGGCTTATAGCAATGTGTTTGCTGTTGTTGCTGTGCTCCCTGTCAAACTTTACCCACACAGTTACAGCTCATTCGTTTACTTCATACTTTAAAACAACTTTTAAGCCAAAATAGGTAGGAAGTCCTTAAGTCCGGGAAAGAACCGGGAAAACTATATGCTGAGGAATATCATGTGATATGATTGAAAGCTGATTGTAACAGCCGTGGTTCTGTTTTCGCCAAAGATTTTCCTTTTAAATTTAAAATTAAGAAATAATGGTCAGTGATCAATATAAAAACACAACCATATAATCAAACTACAGACTCAACACTTTTCAAGCACCTAAAGCAGAAGTACTAACGCAGACCTATTGTAGTTATAAAAACAGCTACTATAAATCTAGGACTGTTGAGTAAAAAAAAAAAAAAAGAAAACAGTAATAGCAGCACTTTGATTTGCAAACAGTCTTCAAAAAGATGCAACAGTAGAGCTACTGGTAGCAAACATGTAACACTGTTTATCTGTCGGGTGCCAGTACAGCCACAGTGGTTTTCTTCAGTAAAACTGACCCTGGTAGACTGTCCTTGAGGCCATCACAGTTTGTTTTTCGTTGATAAAAACAGTCAGGAATGTGAGGCTAAAGCTGGATTTAAACCTCAGAGGCAAGGTGCATTCACCAGGCTCACAGAAAGATCAACAGAGACCAAGCAGAGCGTTTACTCAACACCAGCTAAAGCATGTTTGCTGATTTATCAAAAAAGAAAAAAAAAAAAAAAAAAAAGATAATTTCAGTGTAAGAAATCCTCGTAAAACACTCTACGTGTGTCTCAGCATGCAGCAGAGCTGAAGGGAAACAGATCTAATTCATGCATGACATGCTGCCAAAAAGGGCAAAATGTGATCAGAGACGCAGCCACGCCATGAAATCCAAAACCATGCACGGTTAAACGTGCAGCACACAGCCAGGTGAAGTTCAGTTTAACATCCTTTTTTTTTTTTTTTTTTTTATACCTCCAGGTCAGAGGGAGATAGTTGGACAATAGCCAAACGCAAGAGGAAGGCAGAACAGTGTGAGAAGATTTGTGACATGTGGCATTTAAATCACAGCTCATTTCATGCTCTCAAATCTAATTGAACTATGGATTTTTCACTGTGACAGTCATAAAGAAAAAAAAACTTCACTGTGTGCTGTTTCATGAAAGGTTTGCCATAATATGAACAGACAGCAAATCTGTATGGTTTTATGATGAACACAACATGAGCAGGAATGAACCACAATATCGAATCTAACCCTGGTATAGATCTCAAACAGAGCGGACAGACCCGAACGACAACAAACAACTGTGAAGGGGGCAGGAGAAGGAAGTGTTAGCGTGTGTTTGTGTTTGTGGATTAAGACAAACAGGCTGGTATGCAGCCTGCTTTTGTATAATACCGGTCACAAGGTGTGGGAGTGAAGTACCCAGAAACAGCTTAGTGCAACAAAAGGTTTTCCATTCTTACCGAAATACAGATGTTTAACTGTGAGAGGATGATCAATCTTGAATTTCAAATTTCATAAAAAAAAAAAAGGATGACAAGAATTAAAATACTAAACCTTTTCTTTGACCGTGCAAAGAGTTTTCGGCTTAAAGGAGCAGGTATAATCGCCATTACTAAGACTGTACCAGTAGCACCAGCCAGGCCTGTAAAACGTGATCACTGCCATTCCAAACGCGGGAGCGATGTATGATTTAATTACTTCACCTCCTGTGGTCATGTGTGGATGCCGTGTAATGAGAATTCAAATCTGAATGCTTGATGTTTCTAATCTCGGTGTCCTTCATGAGAAATGCGCTCGACTGGGCACGGTGAGGGGAAGTTGGGGTCTTCTTCGGTGGGGATCTTTCTGTCGTTGTCAAGTTCAGTCAATGAAAGAGTGAATCTTTTGGCTCACTTCATTCGCCTGAGTAGCTAATGCTGATTGGCATCCTTGAAGGCTGCAGCCGCGGGAACAAATCCCTTAAGCTGCAGTGGAGCGAGTGGGCAACATTCATAAGTCAAACCCACCAGAGCGGGTCCGTGTAGTGACGCATGGCTATGTATGAGTGTGTATGAGTGTGTGTGTGTGTGTGTGTGTGTGTGTGTGTGTGTGTGTGTGTGTGTGTGTGTGTGCGCTTGAATACCTCACTTCAGCAGGAAAAAAGTGCAGATATCACAGAGGGAAATCATACTCACTTTCAAAGAGGCTTTGAAAATGCACAGATTAAGCAAATCGATTTCATACGGCGACCCTAACCCACGGTTATCACAGATGCTGCATAATTTTTGTATTAAACCAAAAAAAAAAAAAAAAAAAAAAAAAAAAAGGACATGGTTTGTAATTATTAGGGATTTAATAGGGATTATGGTTTTGTCCTACAACACCACAAAGCCTTGTATAACTGACAGAACCAGCAACCAGTTGTTCCCCTGTGGTGCAGATGAAAATCACAGTTACTCAGTCTGTTTTGCACCTCCCATGATTTACTCATTTACATGCAGCTAAAAGCACCTTGTGCCCTACACTGAGCTCTTGCATATTCATAGTCTTATTGAACCATTTCCAGCATCTTAAATGTGAGTTTTATTTGGTTTTTCTTAGTTTTCTATGATAATAAACTGGATATCTTTTGGGCTTTTTTTCTGTTGGTTGGACAAGACATTCTGGTTTTGCTCTCTATGCTTTCTAATCCATAAGCTTCCCAGCAGTGCATAGAGTAGCTAATTAAAACCAGCCTGCCCCTTTAACAGCTGCAACACATCAATGTGAGTATCACCTATAATCCAGTAGGCCTAAAATATCATCCGGAAATAGACCATTCTGCATAATGAGTGGTTGTGGTTTTAAAAGATTTCACTTAAACAAAACTTTAAATGCATCACTTTACATGTTGCAGAGTCTTTCTGCACTGTGGTTTTGCAACTTTTACACAACTTTCACATTATTTTCAACTAGCCTATCTCCCTGCTGTGTTCACTTACTCGGTCTTGTTGCGGGTTTTGTCCTCACTGAGCTGCAGCAGGTTGATGACAGCCTGTCCCAGCTGTTTGTCTGGACCCACCAGGGCACGGTGCAGGACGTGGACATGCAGCGTGCCCCGCTCTGCTCCTCCTCCTCCTCCTCCTCCTCCACCGAAGTGCAGCGGCGGCAGGTCGAAAGCGGCCTCCTCCTTCCACACCGGAGCCACGCTCTTCTCCACCACCGAGGTCTGATACTTCTCCTTGCCCACTTGCATAACCGCGTACGCATCGTTAGTGCCGTTTTTCCCCTTCGTCCTCAGGCCTCGGGCTTGGAGCACCGTTACCTGGACGCTTGTGGGACACCACTGCTGATCCGCCAAGGACATGCTGACGACACTTGTCGCAGGATTATTGGCGGTAAAATTAGTCTAACAATGAAGCCCACAAACAAGACGCAGTGGTGTCTACCATCGGCCCACTGGTCAGCAGAGAAGAAAAAGTTTTCCCTTGAGCTTCGCTGAAGTTGAGGAAACAGCTGATTGGGCGTGGTTACACCGAGAGAGGGCCTTGGTTAAGACAAGACACTCCCACAGATTAACGGGTTGCATGACTTGTGTGCTCACTCACACCACCACAATCACTTACTGGAGCTAATAGGTCACACCTGATCCCTACTGACACCTGCCAGAGTGCATCAGCATCATCCCACAATAGCTGCATTCAAAGAAAGACAAAACTGATAGACTCGATTCGGGTACTTCTCTTTTATGTCACAGGTTAAGACAGGAAAACAATGCCAGCTGTAGTATTTTTAGACAATGCTCCTGTTATGTAATAATCAGTAGTCACAGTTCCATGTCATCTAATGTTTTTAGATGACATAAATGTTGAGGCAGGGCCGGGTAGCCTGAACATTTGTCATCTAAAAACATGAGACCTCTCTGCTCTAATAATTCTCAGACTGTAACGTGGAGACAGGATGGGATACCTGACAAGACCGTGACAGCTGATAGGGTTCATATGGTTGGATTCAGTTTCACATGCAGCTCCAGTTTGAATCGTAATCAGGCTGCAGTGGTACTGTCTGTATCTGTTTCGTTCCACTTGCAGATCAGATGGATTGATAGCTCTGAAGTACTTTGAGAGTGTCTGTTGGTTTCTGTTTTAGCCCTTTAATGGACAGGCAACCTTTCCAGAATTGATTCCCCTTTCTGCTCAATACGTGAGTATGGGAAATTATTTATACAGTTATACAGCCGTCTGAAATCAGTCTATGCATTGATTTGCATGTTTACTGTTGAGTGTCACAATATGCAGGATGGTCCATGTCTGAACACTGACTCCTTCTGTTGAAAAAGGGAACAAAATTAACAGTTTCTGGTGAATTTACTTTGTATCGCCCTGAATCTCAAATGCTCCACAGAAATACTTCTCTAACAATCTGAGGCAGACAAACTGAAACCGTCCATTATCATGGCTCACAGGAAGTACAATGCCCAGCAAAGATTAAATCTACGGACTCATATAGAGCCTTGAGCCAATTAGAAAAGTGACGCACAAGTGTTGGCACTGCCAGAGTGTCTGTGACGTAATAACTGTACTGTAGTACTAGACACTTAAAATAGTTGCAGTTTTCTTAATAGCTACGCACCTGCCGGGACTATCCTCCATGGTGTTAAGGTTTTCATCATTCACAAACAGTAAATATGTTTTAATCATTTACAACATAATGTCACAACATACAACACATTAAATAAATATGATAAAAACATAAATATCAAAACAAAACATGCTACAAAATCCTTTTCTTTGGTTCTGAGCCTGGTAAAAATGACACAATATAAATTCCTACTTTGATAATTCACATGTATGTGTAAGATGTCACTGTAGAGTCTGTACGTCTTGTACAATAAAAGTATGTCATACATTCACTGTGTCCTCATTGTCTTTTGCTTCATCCTCGGCTGTTTTCATGCTCCTCTGGATTTTCGTCCTCTAAATGTTTGTCGTCACTGTGGTCTTCCTGGTCCTGCTCACCTACAAGAACTTTGCTGTAGAGTTTCTGCTGCTCCTCTTTAAAAGCATCTTTCACTTTTCCTCGTTTCAGCCCTCCATCCCTGAGAGCACACAGGTAAAAAAAAAAAGGAAAAGTGAATCACACACAGACTTGACACGGTGTTATTAGTTACTTTTTCCACAAACCCTGGAGGGAATAACCTGGATTGCCTCCATGAATTAGCTTCAGGGTGTAATAATGCAGCTTTTGTCAAAGCTGAAAAGCTATTAATATTAACAATGTGTTTAGTGAATCAGCGTCTGTTTCATGCCATTGGCAACCTCCCCCTTTTTAACAACCATTAGCACCTATAATTTAACTGATATATTATGACATTTAAATACAACAATGACTCACCAAATGAGATCCACTAAGCCTCCTTGTGCAGCTATGGCCGCTTTCACTCTGTTGGCAAACTGCACCGCATCCTCCCCTTCCTAGACAAGGACAATAAAAAAAAAAAAAGAACAGGCTGAGAAAAGGTAGAAACAGTCCTCGAGTAGACAGAATAAATAATAGCTTGTCTAAAAGTTATATCATTATCATCATCATTATTTTGTTGTGACAAAGCTTCACCTCTTTGTTCATAGGTGGCAGATACCAAACGCTGCAGACAATGGCCCAGCTGCTCATCATCCTCAACAGATAATTCACCATGCCAAACTTACTGCTGTTCCAGAAAGCATCCCCAAACAGAGGATCATACTGCAAGGTGGAAATAAGGACATATTACGTCTATAAGTGAGAGCAAAATGAGAAGAGAAGGAAAATATTCCTACCTTAATGGCGACTGGATAGACAGTGCAGTCAATCTCAAAGCTGCCCTTTTTGAACATCATCACTGATGTGTTATTGATGCAAGTACCTGTCGATGACACAGTGCAAAGACCTTTAGCAACACTAAACAAAACAGCAGCATATCAACAGTTACTTTAGCTCTACAGCATTATGATACACACCCTCAGGAAAGATAAGGATAGGCTGTTTGGTTTTGTCAGCAACATGATCACCAAGTCTGAAATGACAAAGCAGATACATAAATATTTTACCCAAATGTAGCCATTTACATCATTTCTATACTGTAGTTTCCAATCTGAGCAAATATAATAGGAACGATCAAATCATTGCCTAACATCCAAATCAGAATCATTACAGTGGACAATGACAAGTTGAAATATAACTTGAGCAGTATAACCTGTATTTTAAATGTTTTTAAACACAAAGCTTCAGGGTCCGTGCCAATTTCGCAAACTAAGATTCAACCACAAGCTGCTTTATGTTAGACTTTTGTCCACTGTCAAGTTAATTGCTTGATGGCTGCCACACTGTTTGTCATAGTGGAACATTAACGGATTATTTGTCACTTAACACCATGCACCAAATTTGGTATTGTTAGGTCATTAAGTGAAAAGGCATTAGGGAAACGAACAAAGACAAATCAATCTAAAAAGACAGAGAGCAAGAATACAAAAATCTGCTACAATTTGAGGTCCTTCACTCACAGTGCTGCTGTCTCTGTGACTGGTGTATTATTTGTTGGGAGGCCTTTACCAGCATGTAGACAAATTTAGATTTTCTTGTGTAAAAATACTGTACAGTATGTAAGTGTTTAGTATAAGTCTATAGTAGTATATAGTGTGTATGTATCACAGTGTGTCAGAATAAAATCTAACAATTATAAATAAACGTTTTAATCTTTTTGTTAATGCTTCACTATCAACCATGTGAACATAATGAAACAAAACTCCTAATAAGAAACATACAGAGGTGAATGGCAGGACCACCGTACAATATGATCCTCTCTGTGACACTCACTGCTTACCATCAGCAATATCACCTATCCAAATGAATACCATAAAAATGATTACTGGCTGCTCAGCAGTACCACTCAACAATCTAACAGGAGCTGAGAGCAGCAACACTGAGACAATGCAGTGTTACCTTTTTGCCACTAGGTGTCTGTCTTTAACTTCTGATCTTTCAAACCAGATGTGAGGAGAGGATTTGACCATGGCTCTTTGGATCATTCCCATCAACCCTCCATGCACCTGGCCAACCTGAGAGACAAGTTCAACTCAAGCTCAACTCAAAAACAATATCTCTACTCATCTCTAATACTAAAAAAGCTGAGCAGTTTTTTCATAATTCTTCAGCCTTACGAAGACTGAACACACACAGGCTCACAGAAACACATTATAGTATATAGAGAGACACAAACTCTTCTACCATAGAGTAGTAGCCATCATTGGCCAGGATGATGACATCAATGGGTGTTGTATGATTGGCCACACAGATCCCACCATTCTGTGGTTTGTTCTCCCTGCAATTAAACAGGTTTATTCAAGACAGACATACAACTCACTGCCACACACATAGAAAAACAACATCACTTTGTGTAGAAAAAACAATTACACGAATCACATTTTGAAGGTCCTATCAGTGTTTTTCTTCTCATTATATTATTTGAAGAGGAGACATTTACAAAAAGCTGCTTTCTTGTCAAATGTGATGCCATCATAATTATTACATTCAATAAATTCAACTGTTTCTGAGGAAGCTGATATTGTTGCTGAATATCAAATATCCTGTACCTGTTATGATAGGTGATGATTGCTGTGAGAGCTCTGACACAGATGCGGTAACACATCAAATGAACCTTCTCACTCAGGTAGGACCTTAACCTGAAGACACAGAGCATTATGCCACAACAATTCACTCCAGTCCCTTCAGTATTGATGCACACTTCAAGGTCTATCAAACAGACACTTCATTTTTAAAGCAGCAGAACAATCCTTCTGGAAAAGAAAAGTGTTGTAATTTTAACCCTGATTTGCTAAAAATGTGTGCAGAGCAGTCTACGTGATTACAATAGTCAGTCTTGTAGACTAACTTACAGTCCTAAATTCACATGCATGTTTTGAACTACTGTTGGAACTGGTGGGAAACTTACTCTCTATTTGGCAAAAAGCCCACCAAGGCAGTCAGGACTAGGAGCAAACCAATGCCAGTGACTGCCAGAGTAACCCTGCAGGAAAGACAACAGTCAGTTGACGTTGACCCACTCTCGGCTATTGTACTATGAGATAAATCTGCCTGTGTGCTGCTCTGACCTGAGAGGAAGCAGGACGCCATAGCGGATGAGGATCCCCAGGCCCCACAGGACGGTAAGCCTCAGACTTATGTGACGGAAGTTGTAGTTGCTCCGAGTCAGCAAGTTCCAGCTCTCCAGTTCCTGGGCTGAAAAGCGCTTGGTCACCTCATCATCCACGATGCTCTCCACACCTCTGCGGCAGAAGTAGAAGATGTCGGCCATCTCAAACTCCGGCTCTGAGCGCAGACAGGCTGAACCACGGAGCTCCTGGATCTCCTGCTGCAAAGAAGATGGTGGTTCTTTGGCTATGATACCTGCAATGAGAATGAGAAGAAAAAAAGATGTGTTTGGATAAAATTATAGAAATTATACATGTACAATAGGCATTGATTACTGAGAAATATTAATATTACCATTGCTATATGGTTTATAGAGTTCCTGATTCTTTTCCTTTGCTCCCATCTCCATTCGTAGCATTGCCCACTTTAAGAGAAAAAACATCAAGATAACTCAATTAGAGGATTAGAACAATTCAGTATTACAGTTTCTCTGTTTACTGTAATGTACATACAGCAGCATAAGAGCAAGAACTAAAGACTTACATACAGATACACTACTACCAACCAGTAAATATAAAGTTGCGTGAGCAGGAATAAACATTGCATTCCCCCAAATTGCAATCAAGGTTAATGATTTAAAGAGAATATGGGCAACATAGACTGTGATATGATCAGAGTGATAGAAGTAGGCAACATGATCCTTGGAGCCTACAGTTCTGCAGAAAAGAGGGTTGGCAAAACATGTTTTTCTGAGAAGCTTGCAACTGAGAAAACAACACACAGAAATGACAGAAACATTCAACACTTTCAACCGTCTACCCTTTGTCTGACTTACTCAAGCATAAGTAGGTCACAATTCTGATAGATCAGAGCTCTGTGCCACCTAAACCTGGAGAGAGAACATTTAAAGAACCATCGCTTGGTGTGTGCGCCAAATATAAACACCACAATGACAGCACCGACAGCCACTTCAGACTGACCAGCTCCAGGAGGCTCCAACAGGGCTGTATCCTCAGCCCTAACAACCAACTACAGGGGCGAAACAACTGGATTACAACAGTTGCCTTCAACTGTCCTACAACCTTTACGAAAGTAGGAAAACATTTTGCAAATGTCACCAAAAAAAAATATGTTAAAAAAATCCTTCCCAAGAGTCTGAGCTCCCTGCAGTATCTACACCACCTCAGATGGAAGTCCCATGGCTAAAAGCCTGTTCTTCCCAGGGGTCTGTCCCAAAGCCAAAGTCCCTGAGGAAAAAGATGCAACAGTATGTCCTGTGCTTTTAACAGTCTCTCTGAATTGGGACTTCCCAGGGGTCCCATCCAGCAAGGCGTGCTTTTTTTAATCAAAAAAGTGAAGTTAACACTTCAATAAAAAATCACTAACAACTCTGAGGGAAATAATATATTACTGTAGCAATTTAGTAATAGTGTAAGATGTTTCACTCAAAATGTTGTATGATGTGTAATCAATAAATAAAATAACCTTTCCAATTCACCATTCAATAACATGCAAGTATAAATGTCTTTGATTTGTAGACCTCCAATAATATTGTGTATTAAACTGGCACCAAGCTCACCTCAAAGATCTTGAGAAGCGTCCTCATGTACAGCCTGCGCATACCAAAAGAGACTCCAAGTACAGCTGGCACAATTATGAAGACAAACAGAAGAGTGAACCACACAGTGATGGAGATGCCAAGACACCTGCACAGCAGGTTGTCAACAGGAAGTGTAAACCAAGTCATGCTACCAACAGTGGCAACACAGAGAATGACACTGCACAGCACACTGTAACCCTCAGCTTTAAGGCGAGTCTTCTGATCTGTTTGAAGCCTCTGTGTCTGTGGCCGACAGCGACATGTGAATCAGGAGACGCTCATAGTCTGTTGGACAAAGACAGCACAAAATATGAACATCACTCAGAAAAAGGGCAAACTTTATAATCCTCAATGTTCTCTTTCAGGCGATTTGTTCTACACTGTGACTGACATTCAATGATTTTTTGCACAGCATTCTTTGCTGATGGCCAATAAGGTGTTCAGCCACATATTACCACTAATAAAATATTATTTGTGTATTATTTTATTGAGACGTTATTGATATACTCAATAGTTCTAGCCTACACTTTATAACTGATAGATTGGTACCTCCTGGGTGCCCCTCTCATATTTGGTATTACTGAGTGGAAACTTTTGTTCAAACTGTCTGATTTGACTTGATTTCCTCTTTGAATTCACTGACTTTTTCTGACAGCATGAGCAAGAGTTATTCTAGCTTTTCAACAATGAGGGCATGGCTGTTGCTCACAATTGTAAATTGACAGCAAATGCCTTAAGAGTTTAAAACCTGGAATAACTTTTACGCAGGCTGTGAGAAACAAAGCTATTGAATGAATATATTATATGACATTATATTATACTATATTATACTACATCATATTATTTAGTCGATGTATGTGTTCTGTTGTGTTCTCTGTCAAGGTTTATCTGTTGTATAGTGTATTACCAATTAAATAAATAAATAAAATGTAAAATACTGTGAATAGTTATTAAGTACATGATTTACTGAAAGTACATTTTAGGAATTTCATCAAGCTGTAACTTTCTTGCGTCAAGCCTGAAAGGTGCAATACCACTAAAAATGATGAATTCCTATTAATGATAGTTAGTTATCAAAAGACGCTCATCATCTGTTGCAGAGTTAACTAAGTAATAGTGAGTGGCCATTATGATATCTAGAAGCAACGCTTTAGCTTAATATTATTATATAACGTTGACAGTTATTGCTTTGCTACATCACCAGAGTGAGCATCCTGTAACGGGACACCTTCAGCTATCAGTCTCTTCTCTTCAGAGAGAGACCATCAGCTACGTGTATAGTATTATTAGGACGTTTTGACAAGTTTGACTGATAACATGCTATCTTAAGAGTGAGCTGCTAATAGCAGGAAAGCTCATTTTGATTCCCAGCTAACGGCTAATGGCTAATTAGCCTATGTGTTAGCTACAAAGGGAACGGCTCTTACCGTCCTCCGGATTTAACGCTATTATCGTTAGTCCAGTGTCGGAGGAGGATTGAGGTGACAGACGGTGAGGTGGTTCTCCATCTGGACAGTCAAGGCTGGAGCACAGGACACACTGACACACTGTGTTGGCTTCACCAGATTTTAGCAGCGACTTACAGCTACAGAGTCATAGCAACAGGTGTCCAATGAGGGATGCTGTCACTGCACCGTGGGCTGGGCATAGATAGACAGATCATCTACATCTATTATGAGAAATTGTACAGTGTCCATCATAGGTATTAATTAATTAATTAATTAATTGTGGTACTCATGCAAACTACTAACAATGGTCTTTCAATGTTTCCTCAAATATAGTGGGGTTTTAATTATTTATATGGCATGTCAGTGCCAGTGACTCCCCCATGTTAAACAGTTGGCCCTCCCCACTACAGGGACCGCCCACACGCAAGATGGCACCTTGCAGTATGCAGTAGTCAGGTGAAAGCACCTTCCAGAGTACCCTGCACTGAAGAAACCACAGTTTCGTCTAAAAAGGCCAGCAAAGTAAGACCATAAGACCAGAGCTCAGGCAGACTGCTCCACGGAGACTGGCCAGCTCAAATCCAGGTCAGCCGGTGGCCCGTTAAAACATCTATAAAGTTTTTTAAGTTTTCACCGGCTCGGTCAGTTTCTTTACCAGCTAATTTCATTTGTGTTGCAGGTCCCAACACATAAGACTAAGGCTGAATTTCTTTCCCAGTCCAACCATGGAGTCAATACTGTACAATACATATTCAACTTGACCTGGAACCAGCTTTTCTTCTCGAGGTGTAAGTACTTTTCTGGCTACATGCCACATGTCTGTCTTCAGTGGTGACCTGCTACAGAATGCATTTGCTAACTTGCCGTATTATTTCTTGGCAAACGCTAGCTGGCTCACTGTCAGCGTTGCTGTGAAGCATATCACATCAATGGTTGTGGTTGGATTGTTTATGTTGGCTCTCATAACTTAATTCAGTTGTGCTGGTTAGTGTGTGTTTAAAACCCAAAGTGACACAGTTTAACATACAGGATCTGCCCAAAAAGGCAATATATTCACTTCAACACTTCTTTAAGTGAGTACCAGGGATTAGGACCTCTGTTTTTGTTGTCAGTCCATGTATGTAAACCTGAACACAATTGGACTGAATGTTCATCATTTTAACAAGTCTTCTCCTGTCATTGTGTACAGTACATTGTCTCTATGACATTCTAAGTTTTATCCACTTAAACCTCTATGATATGAACATTTTATTCACACTGAAACATACCTTTTGTTTTGATAAGAGAACAAAGACAGCCTGCCATGAGCTATTTCAGTTAAAAGCCAAGTTGGCTCTTACTGAGAAAAACTGGTCAGTAGACAAAGGCCTGTGTGTTTATAATACTACAGGAGACTTGCCAGTGTGCTACTTACAAAGATTTTTGTAAATATCAGAATTGTATCTGTCTACATCTTCATTTGTTGTTATGACAGTCATTCCACATTTCAGCAAATAATTCATTTAGATAAACTGTTCTGAAATGTTTGTTTTTTGTCTACAGACTGCTGGATTTGAAGAGCTTAATTTTCTTTATCAATTGAAATACTGTCACAGGAAGGTCCACCTAATTTTGGTCTCCATAAGCAGAGGTTTCAAAGTTTTTTTAGTTAGATGTTTTCTTGATCCCATTTCCAAATAATTTCCAACCAACTCCTTAGTTGCCTTACACAGGATTTGATGTTTTTGGTTTTGTTTTTCTGGATGTAAAGCATTCATTGCCAAACCAATTCCTGGGCTTTACTTTACTTAAAACATTCTTTTCAGTTTTGGAATATGCTGTTTTCTCACCATATTAAGTTATACTACAGAACTTAAAACTTGCAATTTGCAATGGTATTGATCTATGTGTATAGTTCAGCCTCTGCAAAGGGAAGAAATGCATTTTTTGATAGTTCTGAAGTTGTCATAATGTATCGTCTTAGCTGGCTTGCCTAGTTAGCCTACATTCAGGAGTAAATATCACCAAACCATGGGCTGACTGGTTGTTAAAAGTTCCATACTGTAGAAATTAAGATTTCCATGTTTTTTTTTTTATTATAAAAAGGTTTAGGTATGAAAGTATCTAAGTAAGTAATTAGTAAAGTATGTTAGTACGTACAGGTTTGGTTCAGATTGTGGAGTCCTCGTAATACAGATTCATGTCCCCATTACATTGTTAATACAAGAAGAAACGCACACCTAAACACATATTAATCTCTCCAATAAAAACCTTTATTTTTATATGTTCTGCTACAAATTGCAGTTGTTTTCTAGCATGCATAGTTTCACACAGTTAAGACAAGTAAAATCACAAAGTAAGATTTCCCTTTAGAAGAATATCTTTACTTCAGAGCATGCATATACTCCCATGTCCATTCATGAACAGTCAACCAATAATTTAGCTGCCCCAGGAACCAAAGGGCAATTCAAGCAGCCATTTTGAAAATGTTATCCAATGAATCATATTTCTAAAAACATACTGCACCTACTACACTGCGACTCAAATAATATTCTTATAAACTTTCTTTGGCTTTTTTCATAAAGAAGTTAGTACCACTTCTTTACAAATATTAATAATGAAGGTAAGAGGGGAAAAAGAATTGGTAATAGATATTATGCTAGGGGCAGTTAATGGATGAGGTTGATTGTTCGATTGATTTTGAGGTATCAAAGTTCAAAGTGAAAATGTTGTACCAAAGTGAAAGTCACTTGAGGACTCAGTAGACTCACAAAACCCCAAATAGACAAGAACATTTATCAGAGCTCTTTGATAATAATTACAGCATTAACAAAATCCATATTTCATCTATAGTTTTAACACTCTGTTGATCACCTACCACTGTAACTTAGGTGTAGATTAACTCAAAAAAGTGTTTAATGTATTGAGTATTCATGCAGAATTAGTAAAACATACTGTAATTAAAAAGGCCAATTACAGTAGTCAAGATTAGCAACTCACTGTACCTAGCCTCAACAAAAGTTTCAGTTGAAGGAGTCTGTTCATCTTATGCACACTGAAAATTACATACATATATATATATCACAGTAAGATAGGCATAATGTTATTAATGTCAGAAGAACAGCATCTGTGCTACATTACACATAATTACAAAACAAATATTGGCTTGCCTTAACCAGGGTTGGACAATTGTCTTAAGGGAGATAATAAGTACAGTTTAGGGTGGAGAAGAACAACAGTATGCACAAAACACAAACACACAGCTTTGACAGGATCACACGAAATATTTCCATATTGCAATGTTGTATTTGTGCTTCTCAGCATTATAAAGGAATGTGTTGCATTTGTGGGGTGTTTGCTGGCATACTGCTGTAGTTGAAAATATGTCTTCTTAATTGCTACTATTATTAACAACAATAGTAAAGTGTTTAAGCAAAATTGCTCAAACATCTGGGTCAACAACCACATCAGCATTAGAAATGTCATTACTAAAGGAAAATATGCTTTTTAAAATATACTTTGTAAAAGTCTGAAATGCAGCTGTTGGTTTTTTTGTGCTCTAAGAAACAGCAGCAGCATATAATCAACAGTGTTGCTCCTGGCTGTAGTGGTCAGCCTTTGTGCTTCAGCGTGGCAGTTTCAGGGCAGGGTTGATATGTTTTTGTTCTCTTGTTCGCTGTCAGTTCAGAAGTTCAAGATCCATCAGTATTCTTGTGCCGGTCTCTCTCATATTCCTCCCATAACAACAGAGAATCCATGTTGTGTTTTAACATCTCGGCTCTCCGTGACAAACTCATCGAGACATCATACGCACAAATTCTGTTAGTAAAAGAACAGGACAGATGGTTTTCACACACAGTAGCTCAGTGACCTGCTTTCGATTGAATCTATTATCAAATATGTGATACTGCACAAGTGGGAAGAATTTCCTCTTAATATATAGGATATACACATCCGATCACAGAAGTCACATTAGCCAAGACCGTGCACCATGCACCTAGCATTCCACAAGTACACTTTCTTCTTTGATCTTGCTCGATCAAATGTTGCTTGGACATTAATATTGATGGAACACAGAGGAAATGTAAGATCACGTTGATGTAAGAACCGTTGCAATACTGAGAACAGCAGCACTTTCTGATATGTTCATCCCTGACAGCCTGCATGCATCTTTTCCTCTGTGGGTAATCTATGAGGTGACATAATCCCTTGGTATGGTGATAATCTGACAGACAGACCTACTGCCTTCATCCCCTCACCTCACTATCAGCATGGTATTGGGATATCAGCCAGACACATTGCTGGGATTTGAAATATGTGTGAATGTGTGTGTGTTTTAAGAGAGAGACAGAAAGGAAGGAGGAAAAAGGAAAATATGGTCTTCTGTATGAATTGCATATTATCCTTTACCTTCGAAGTCTACATGTCCATCTCCATTGAGATCTATATCTCGTAGGATGTCCTCCAGATCTCTGTGTCCAACCTGAAGAGGTCAGATTGTGGGGAATCAAAGTGTGAACTTAATTCAGAGAAGATTTATAAGTAGAGTGGAAAGACAAGATTCAGACAGACACAATGACTGATGGAGAGCTACAGAGAAGAGGGCATACTCTCCTAGCAGCTCTGTACCTGTTGTCCTAAAAGTTTTTTCATTGCTTCTCGAAGTTCTGCTGTACTGATCTGGCCATCGCCATTTGTGTCAAACTGAAATCAAGACAAAACAGACAAATTACCAGAACAGAAATGCAAGAAGTGGAATAGAATCACGATATGCAATTATCAAAACTGTCTTTTCTCCTTTTCTTTAATACGTCCCTAAACTTGTAAGACCCACTGTTGGCGTCGCAAAATTATCATCAACGCTATCTGACATGAAGTCCATAAAGTTATACTTGAATTTAAAGTTAAAACTCTTTAAAAAAAATATATATATATATTATTTTTGCTATTTTGTGTGCTTTTACCACGTGATTTTTTCCTCACCTCCTTGAATGCATCCCTCAGCTCTTTCACCCCAATCATGTCTGCAGTTTCAGCCAGAAGTTTGGGCCCCATCAGTTCTACAAAGTCCTCAAAATCAACATGTCCTCCCACTGTTGGACAGAAGGGAAAGAGGAAGCTGGGTTAACTTTCAGGGTTTGTTTAGACACCAAAAAAAAAAAAAGGGACAAAACTTGCTTTATTTGCACTTTGTCTGACACTCAAGCTTAAGCACTGTGGTTGTAAAAGTGGAAATAATTCATAGACATGCACACACATACACAAAGACACAGTTTTACTCACAGTTCATGTTGATCTGCTGACTCAGCTCTATTAGCTCCATCTCTGTTGGCATGTAGCCCATAGTCCTCATGCAGTTTCCCAGGTCTTTACAGCCGATAAACCCGTCTTTGTCTTTGTCGAACTCCTTGAAGGCCTCACGCAACTCTGAGAGCAGGGGAGATAAGGTATGAATATTAGATAGATGGGAAAATTATTAGAGAAATTACAGTTTTATTTTTGCATTCTTTATTGTCCTGAAATGTAACATACCATCCATTTCTTCTGGCCTCAACTCTCTGTCCTGAGAAAGATCACAGTACAAAGTTAGGATCCAAACACTGCGGATATTTTTAATACTCAGCCAATACGCAGCATTCCTCACACAACATGATGCTGTATAAAAATAAACTATGTGGCACGGAGAGTGCCAAGAGTCTGCAGGTTTTCTTCCGGCCAGAGAGGAGAAGGTTATCAGTGTTTGGATGGCAGGAAAACATGCAGATCCTTGGCACACATGCGACACATAATTAGATATTGGGATGAAAGTAATCATAGCATTTGTTATAATAGAAATGAATCTGAACCATTTACTGTATCCATAGCGTAAGTGTTTTTTTTTTTTTTTCATAGTCACGTTGTTTGCATTTCTGAAAGTGTGGATATGCAGAGGCAATGGAAATACGCAAAGTACACAATAGCTCTTTTATTTGCCAGTCCACTGAAGTAAAATGACTCAATCTCAACCACTGCACCCATTAAGAACAACCATCTGAGAGCTTGTCTTTAGAAAAGTCAGTAAAACAGCAGTCGTCCACACTGAAGAATTCAACATCCCTGTTTTCTTTAATAACGAGACTCTGACTCGTGTTGTCACTGCTGGAAATAGACAAAGAGAAATAATCATCAGGTGAGGAGCATTTCTCCCATCGCCATAACCCAGGTTTAATAATCCTCCATCCTGCTACAAATGTCCACCATGTTTATGAGTAATCCAGCCTCATGCAGAAATATAGACTGACAAACACCAACACACACACACACACACACACACACACACACACACACACACACACACTTACAGTCAGCATTCTAGCTGTCAACAAGACTCCATACTATAAAGATTTAAAGTTTTCATATTGTCAAAATACCATATTCTCTGTCCCACCACGCTACTTTACATGCTCGAAGTGCTGACAGTACAGTAAGAGATGATTACTACACACATTCACATTGAGTTTTACTTATTGTGTGTGTACTGTATTGTGTGCTAATCTCTCTTGGCATGCATTCACATGATATTTTCTGGACTTACGTACAGCCTGCCGGCTCTCAGCGAAGCCCTTGCGTAGAAAGATGCATGCAGGCCCCAGTACGTTGTGCATGTTGGCTCCGTTCTGGGCCAGGGCCACTAGCGGCTCAAGATAGGCCCCCCCAGAGCCCCCCTCCTCACAGGACTGCACTGCTTTGTAGTTCTTCTTCTGGTCCTGGAGCAGCATCCGGGGCAGGGGGGCCAAACATGGGAGCAGGGGCAAAGACAGGGGTAGAGACTGTGACTCAGATTGTGGCAGCATGGAGCGAAAAAGGAGCCGACACGGAGGTGGGATGGAGGGGGTTCAAAAGCAGGTGACAGACACATGTCTGTCAGTCATAGAGAGGTGTTCAGTCAGGTCAGTCATGATGGGGGGAAGAAACTCAGTCAGAGGAAAGACTGTGTAATATATCCTGACACAAGCAACTGATGCCATCTATGACTCTGTCCTGTTGGTCACCACCCTGCACAACAGTACCAAGCCTCCATACTGTTTGTAGCAGATAATGTCAGCGGAGGTTACCGGTTAGCAAAAAGGCAGTGCCCCTTTTCATGTCAACAAACACATCTGACAGCCTCATGTGACGGCTCTTTAGTCAGTTTGTCACAGTCTTCACCTGCATATTTTCTTACAATTAAGACTAATTGTGGTTTATTGCAAAATTGGTCAGATTTGAGCATTTTTCACCCTCTTTTCTAACTCCTATGATAACTGTTACTCACCAAAGTAATTGCTAAAATCTGGAAAAACAGCAACATCGCTACAACGAAGTCAAACACTGCATGAAACATAAGCATATGATCATACAAGTTTTTAAAGAAACCCCAGGTTAGCCAGTTTTAATATGAAGAGGGATGAAAAAGTACTTCAGGCAGACTGCATGTTGTAAACATTCAACGCAGTGTTTGTTGAGTACAATGTTTTTATAATCAATAGCAATAATGGTAAGAACTAAGAAAATAAGAATTAAGTTGTAATTAACCAGAATGATCCTTTAATAGCCAGTGGTCATCGGTAGGAAAGAACAGAATCCACATGAGTATATATGTTTTTAACTGACAGCATTATGATTCCCTCTAATGATACCGTCTCAGTGTGTTAGCAGTAGTCGTATCAGTAGTACTACGAGCACAATGTCTGTTGATATTAGGAAATTTAAAAGATTGATGATACACTACTTGTACAATCAACTGCGGCTAGCTGGGGAGAGTTACTTGAATTTTTCCAAGAGTGACGAGGTTTTTTATGTGCGCATTACAAAATGGTTGTGTTGTTCAGAAGATAAGGCAAAAGTTTAGCCAGCCATTAAATTATAATCACCAATTAGCCACTCAACCAGGGGGCAAAAGTTGTTCTCACAACAGTCATCCCAATTACAGAGCTAGCTACAGCTTAATTAAAAACAGGCAATAACGGCCTGCAAGTGGACAAAAAAAGCTTCCTCTAAAGTCAAATAAGGTCCGACCATTGTTCTGACTAATATCCGAATTAGAGAGAGCAGCAGTCTAATCTGAGGCTAAATGCAGAACACTGGAGACAACTAGAAAATGGACTCTGTTCTCATGCTCTGTGATTACTACTGCACATTTTTGCCAAGCAGATATACAGAGTTTAAATTAGTAACATCTCTTCTCGCTGGTCAGGTCTTCAATTACCACAATGTAACATCCATCCCAGCTACAAGCAAGTGAAGTAGACTCGCTGTCACAGCGAATTACCAAGGTTTTTTTTTTTTTTTGCTGCTGCTTTAATTCTCTCAGACATGAACTAGTACCCATCTTCAGATGGTTATAACAGTAAAAATAAGACATCTGCATGCATACAGACTGAAAAATGATTATGCATACATATACTACATGCATATACAAACTGTATTATATGCTCTACAAATGACCTTCACACACCATCTGTTGCCATGCCAGTCCTAATGCCAGTTCGTGCATTCCTACAGTCTCCACAACAGGAGCGGATGCCCACTGGGTAATCTGACCAAGTGATGCATGGAGCAGGGCTGTCTGCGGGTATATTGTGCCAGAAAAAGTACTATGAAGCCACGCGCTTGCAGTTATATAACCCAAAAAAAAAGAAAAGAAAAGAAGTGTCAGAGAAAGGCTGTAGTCAAGCAAAAACTTCTCCAACACCCCAACCAATTTTGCACAGATGGCATCAACAGTTGCTCATGATATTGTGCTTCCTCAAGGATGTGCAGCTGCTGTGAAGGGAAATCTATTTGTGGGATTGTCTGCCTGCTACAGAGAGTCTGTTCAAGCATACAATGAGGACAGCAGATGTAAGAGATGTATTGTATAAACGAACTCTGTCATCTTGACTTTTTAGAAAAATGGTTCTGAACGTTCTCCCTGCGCTCCTCCTCAACTGTGCATTCACGTCGTCGTCGGAAACACTCAGAGTCAGAGGTACACATGAGCTGACAGAATCGGATACAGCTGAAACAGCACACCTGTTTTCGACATTTCTACTGACTGGTAACATCCCGCAGGTGCAGGCTCAACTTGTAGCATCTTCCGCTGGCTGGTAAAGTGGCATCGCTGTGCGGTCTGACTGACTCTAAAGTTTGCTGACATGATCCAAATTCACTGACCTCACCTCAGCCAACAGGTCAAGCACAAGCCGCACCAACCGGCTCCTCTGACCTGTCTGAGCAGCTGAAATGGGTTTCTGGGTGAATGAAAGCATGCACTGATGAGCACAGAGAAAACTTTGATCCAAAAAGACACATGATAGGATGCAGATGTCATATAAACGTTGCAGTGCAATGAGTTTTAGAGGAAGTCAACAAAGTCCTACATTAATATACATATACTCATATACTCATATACTATAAGATCCCACACTGGCAAATAGCCTCCATTTATCCTGCCGTGCGGGGCTCCAGCAACACAAAACACAGAGTAACAGCTGGTAGTGAAATCCACAGTGGTCAGTCAGTACAGGTCCAGTCAAATAGCCTTCAGTCAGGTTGGGGGTCACACAATGAGACAAACATGCGGGGGGATTCAAGGAGACCACAGCCAAATGAAAAACCTCAGAGCGGACCTTACCTTCTTGGTGAAAATTTTAAGCGACTTTACAGAGTTGCCCATTGCAAGAAAGAAAAAAAAATCCGTCTTGTTTTATGTTTTCTCTCTAACTGTGTCTGTGTTAGTGTGCCTGTGTGTAAGTGCACGTGTATGCATGTGTGTTTGCATATGTTTCCGGGCATGCATGGGAATAGGAGTGATTAGAAAGGGAAAGAAGGTTCAATGGGTCATTGACTGATATAAGAGGACATTTGCTGGAAAAAGCAGGGAACAGAGCAGAGATATCTTAGGAGGTAGACGGAGGTGAGGAGGGAGAGGACGAAGGAGTGTGCAGGAAGGTACCTGGAGGCAAGGACGCTGGGAAGTATGAGGGGAGGGACACAGAGACAAATGAGGAAATATGTAAACAAGAACAAAGGACAGATCAGAAGAACGCAAAGATGAAGCGAGGGAGAGGAAGCATGCATGTGAACAGAGCGAGATGCAAGCGCCAGGAGTAGAAAAAGCAAGATTGCTTATTCATTCCATCCTCTCTCCTACAGTGTCTTTCCTCCCTCCCTCCCTCCCTCCCCTCTACCCTCTCTCTCTCTCCCTCTCCTTCTCTCTCTCTCTCTCTCTCTGTCCGTCTGTCTGTCTATTGCTCTTTTTCCCTCACCCTCTCCCCCACTCTCGCTCACTCCACAGTTTTAAACCATCTATGCGAATGTGACAGAAGAAGCTCGTTCGGACAAGCATATTACCTTCCCCTGAGCAAGATGCTGGAGACACTAATCCAAACATGCACACACACACATACACACGCACACACAAACACACACATACACTCGATTAAACACACATGGATGTGGGGCTGTGGAGCTAAAAATATAACACACGCTTCCCCCTACTCTCCCATATCTCTCCCCACTCTACCCTCAGCATCCATCCCGCACTCTCTCTCTCTCTCTCTCTCTCTCTCTCTCTCTCTCTCACACACACACAAACCACACACCACACACAGACATAGGAGCATTACAAAGTCATGTTAAGCTTGAAGGGCTTGGATTCAGATCAAAGCCAAAATGTGCAAGAAATGACAATGGATTCTGAACCACCGAGGGTGCAAACCCAGCACGTGCAAATGCAAACACACAGACACAGGCAAATAAATGCTGTCTTTCAGTCTTTCTTGTACACACACACACACACATACACACACTCACACACGCAGACACACACACATTTATTGAGCATGATGACAGAAATAGTGGGGTTTCTAAATATGGAACATCTGAAACTGGTGGCAAAAAGCGGAAATGTAAATTTATTCTAGTAATGTGCTTGAATCATCACTGCATTTGTTTTACAGTTATAGGTTCTTGCTGCATCTATGTTTATGCAAAAGTGACAATAATCAATGAGTGTTAAAAGTCGACCTGTCAAATTTCAACAGTGTCGCAGCCTCAGAAAAGATTAAACGACTGATATTTAAATCCTAAAAACTCTGGAGCTTCTGTATATGAACTAAAGACATTTCTGTGATGATGAGGGAAGTGACACCTCGATGTGTGACTAAGTCTAAAAGGTGAAAGGTGTGACGACCAGGCAGAGACACTGATCTAAGTGTTCACTACTGCAGTATGGACACGTTGTTGTCACTGGGGCATTTTGCCACTCTTGAAACTTGTCACTGTTTGACTGCAATTTTTTTTTTTTTTAAAATAAGCCAACTCGTCAACTCCTATTTAAACATGTTTTTCACAGTCAAACTTGCCTCAATCTGTTTTGAACGTGTTTAATTCAAGCGTTTCAGTCTCGTAACGTTCTCGCTGACTCCAGCTACTAGCATCTGAGAGACGTGTGTGTGTGTGTGTGTGACATAATAGTGATCTGTTACTTGCATATTTTGCTTTGGGTCAAAATTGAATTGTATTTCTCTCCACGTGTTGAGTATGTTGGGAACATACTAAACTACAGCTCTTAAACAAGAAGCGGTTCATCATAGTACATATTATTACTTTAGGTTTATTTTTCTGATACTTTCTTGTAGTATTGCTACTTTTACTTAAGATAAAAATCCCCTTCACACATAATGCACACACGCTCGCATCTTAAATTCAGAATTAAGGTGACACACAGAGAAACTTCGCTCCTCCAGCGGGTGAATGTGTAAACAGTCCTCTGGCGTCAGACTCTTCACAAACATCATTCTACACAGTGAGGCTGAAACATGTGAAGTAACAATAAGTAAAAACTAATTGTGAGCGGATGTGGACTTTAAGGATCTGAGTACTTCTTCCCCCGCTGTCTAAAATGACAAACCACAACATCCAGAACAAAGCCCACATGTTGGGTTTTAAACCAGTATAGCATAAGGTAACTTTACCGCCACTCACACTCGAACTTCAGCATTAACGCACATCCTCATTTCCCTCTCCTGTTCGACCTTGTCTATTCTCTGCTATTTTAATAAACACATTCACGCCAAAGTCGCCTCAGATCTTGCTCCCATTCAATATCTCTGCGGCTTCTCTGTGTTGTTCTGCGGATGATTCATCCAGCCTCTCACCGGAGGCTCATTGTGAACTTCAGAACACATCAGACGTCAGACACAGGAGCCGTCAGCTCTCATAATGTCAGACCATAGTGTGCACGGGCATGAGATCCATCTCACCCCTCTCTCTCTCTCTCTCTCTCTTGCTTCCTTTCTCCCTGGCTGTATCCTTCTCTTTCTCCCTCACAATCGCTCTCACTCAGATGCCCACAGTTGACTTTAAACATTTACATAACTGCTTACATGCGGACAACATGATCTGAAGATCAGATGATTTTTAATTTTTTTTTTTTTGGGGGGGGGGGGGGGGGGGTGGGGGTCATATGTCACTGACTCTTAGGGTGAAGCCTGTCTTGATTTATGACAATAGCATATGATGCTTGCAACATCACTGTCCAAACGATGCAAAGAAATGTATACGCATGCCCCCAGACTGGAAGCTGGCTCGCATAGAAAATATTAATAACTGCTTTTGCTTTTTATGTAGATGCAGATTTTGAGGTCAAATATAATCGTGTTTCATCCACCGCCATCAAGTGTGTTAAATGAGCTGGGAGATGAAGAAGGGGGAAGGAAGGGACTGATGTAATAACAAGCTCTCTTGCGTTCATCATCAACCGTTTTTTCTTTTTCTTTGCAGAGTGGAATGAGATGTAATCATTTCATGGTCAAACAAGACAAAAGCTGCTGCGTTTTAAATCGCAGTGTATCCAGCTGCAAAGACAGAAGGGATAAATACAGTGACCATAAGAGTTGGTTTTTTTTTTGTGCGTACATTTTTGTCGTCATCAGAGGACGTCTAGGGGGTGAAGAAAAAAGAAGCGTACAATACACACTTGCGTCATCTTCCTGTGCTGGGGCTGAGACGTCACAGTTTAATCCTTTAGTTGATTAATTCATTCAAATCAGAATAGCTATAAAAACCTTTAACTTTCATGCTGATTATTCTGGTATTTTGGTTTTATTTCAGATGGTAGCACATGCACAGACAGCTGTTAAAGGTCTGGTGCGTCAGCAGGGGAAAAATATTGACAAGTCTCATTTCAGTCAATTAAAGCTCTGTTGTTTTTCCTCTGACTCATTTATTCCTCGTCCTCTGTCTCGCAGTGTCTCTCACTGATTTTCCCTTCCAGCCTCGGGTCTCCATAAATATTTAGCATCATCACATGCACACACATACATTTAACATTGCAGCATGTGCAGTTGTGCTCTCAGGCTCTTACATTTCGCTGCCTAATCCTCATCTCAAAAAGGGATTTAACCAAAGAGTCAATTTTCTACCTCCTCCTTTGCCAGCACAGATATATAAATATCCATCTGTGCCTAAAAATAGCCCGCTATACTCTAGACATACTAGAGGCATATGCTGTGGTGAATATGATGATGCTGCTCTCTTCTTTTTTTTCCCCCCCCCCCCCCTCATTTCCACCCAGATCTTTCTCCTTATTTTGCTCATTTTCAGTCTTTTTTTCTGTTGTGTGTCTTTTCATCTCCCTCTCAGATATCAAGGTCAGCGTGACCCCGCAGAGGAGAGGGGAAGAAGAGGGAAGAGAGAGAGAGAGAGAGTCTGTGAGGGCAAATAAAAGGGGAAAGGAAACGACTGACAGGAAACGTGAGCGGCTGCCAGTGCGTGATGAGTAGCAGGAAAAGCAGTCGAGGAAGTGAGGGGCTAATCTGCGTTTTAACATTTTCCTCACATTGTCTGCACAAATGTCAGGTGGGAGCAGGGAAGTGAGAGGTGACGAGTGTTTGCCTTATATAACAATCATCAGGTCTTCCAGCAAAGTAGCTCTCCTCCTATTTTACTCTTTGCTGCCCCCCTGATTTATCCGATTCCCTCGTTTCCTTTACTTTCTTTCCTTGCCCTTTCACTTTTCCTGGCTCACTCATGTGACACACAGAGGACTGTTAATCGCTCCCCCCCTCGCTCTCTCTCTCTCTCTCTCTCTCTCTCTCTCTCGCTCACTCACAGTTCAAACCTATTAGCACAAACGGTACGTGCTCCCTCTGCTGGTTAATACACATATCCTTTCAAGTACATTTAATTTGAGAAGAAAATCGTCATCTCCTTCATGATAATGTCTGAACAGCAGATGACATCTCTTTTCTGATTTCCTCCGAGGGGTTTTGTAGAACAAGGGCAGTGAAGGTCATAAAATCTGAGGCAGAGGCAGTGATTGTTCAGAATCTCTTAAAATAGAAACAAAATTTCTACTGGGACAAAAGGCTTTGTCCTTGATCAAGGTGTCTGGTGTAACCTGGATTGTTTAAAGATATGAGCATGCAGAAATAATGATAGTTTTGTAAACTGTGCCTGTTTTAAAGATTTCAAATTTCACATTAAAATGAATCACTGCATCACAACCTATCTATAAACATCGAGCTGCAAAAACACATTTGTCCTTATTCTAACCCCCACACTAGCCTTTTTGGTAATCATGATTCATCTCATGAATATGAAAGCGTGGATTATAAACTGCCAGTTTGGAGAAAGCATGTCTCCTTATGCTGCAAACCTGCTCTTTTATTTTTCTCAAATTTGCTCTGTCAGGTAGCATGTATGCCAAAGGATCTTAATTTTTTTTT